TAAAAAAATGTGATCAAAAGAACATTCTATATGTTCTTTTTGTATGCATTTTTTATATAGGTAAAACCGTTAAAATTTTAAATTGACCATTGTCTAAATTTAAAATTCATATTAAGAGTTGTCTACTCAGTACAGGATATACTGTTAATAATGAATATTTAAACGACAAAAGTGTTTGGTGTTAAATATGGCTTATTTTTATGTATATTATATTATTTATCGGTGTGTTTGTTTGACTAGACATGTGATTTGATTGACGAAAAAACTGTTTGACTTTTATGTATGGAAAAAGACTTCATATTTTAATGCAGCCATTTTCAATCTTTACGCTCTGTATGAAATAAAACAGGGATAAATAAGCAGTCTTTGCCGAGTTTTTTTGCTGCTTCTTCTCGGTACAAGGTTTCCTGCCGTAGATTTACGAACCGATGTAGCTCTTGACTTTCACAAGTGCTTGTAACAGCCTAGACGGAATAAATAATTTTGATTTGATTTGTTATAGGCTTCTAAATATGTTTGCAAAATTTTATACATGTATGTATGTACATATGTATCTTATGCGTATGTCTGTATGTTTGTCCATGGATATCACGCAAACTAGACGATGGATTGCAATGTATCTTTTGTTATTTCTTTAACCAGCTCCCAACTTAGGGTTAAAAAAAAAATGGTATATGCTAATGAGTTTCAATTGTATTGAAGACTGTTATTATTTTTCTCTTTTCAGTCGTTTCTCCTTAGATTATATCTCCTATGATTTTTTGAAGACTGTTTAATTTTATTTTTTTAATCGAACCAAATACTGAAACTTAGGTTTTTGTTTTTAGAAAGCAATCGGTTTAAATTTATTTAAAAAGTGATAATTTCGCACAACCTCGCCTTGTCGTAGAATGGCCTAGTCAAACATTTAAGTATTAGTTCGAGCTAAACCATTGGTCGAGGACAAGCTGCATCTGCAGTCGTTAACACCCTACTATCCGCACTGGACCCCCGTGATGGTTTATGGTCCGTTTTCACTATTGGAATCGATTGGATTCCATCCATAGGGAAAGCAAGCTGTCCCGTTAACTTTAGAACAAAGGTTTTTTTTGTTTATTCAAATTATTCCAGTTTGCTATTTCTCCCGCTGTTAAAAGTCTTTCGATGCAATGTTTTGAAGTGAAATAATCGATCATATATAAAAATAATCGATTAACAACATTTTTTGTACCTGTCGCCCGTCGCCCGGATTGCGAAAGGTCATGTTCTAATCTCATATCAGGGTGCCTGGGACCAAGTGGATTTTTTAAGCATTTTCATTAAGAATAGTTTTCAGTATAGCATTGTGAATGCGAAATTTATCAAATATAATATTTATTTGTCGTTATAGCACTTATTACTTCCTGTTAGCTGTAAAACTATCAGATGCAACATTATTGGCTTAAATAGAATCGGACCGGAGGGCAGCGCGTGTACCGCGTGTGCTATGTCATAACGTTAGTTTGTATGTTTATCGATTGTATTCCGGGAGCACTATTCTTTCCCCGGTGTTTACGATTAGCTACCGACAAAGCTCACTCGAAGAGTAGCACCTGTTGGTCCAACCTCGTAACCAATCCTACAACAATAAATATGATGTATAATTTATAAAAAAAGTTTAATCCTATCAATGTCTTTTGCTTCATGATTTCTGTGTCATACAGAAGTTATATATCTAATTACAGTTACCTAGATCGCTCTTTGATTCCATTTATAAACTATATTTATATATGCGTAGAAAGAAAACATAACTCTTACATGATCATTCACTATACCACCAAAGAAAATAATGTCAGCTGCACAAACGTCCATTAAGTTTCAATAATGCCTTTAACCACTAATGAATGTCAAAATTTGTAAAGGGTAATATCACTTTAAACTAATGACAATTTTAATTGACGTTTGAGCAACTGAATGTGAGTGAAATAACATTCAACTAATTTTACAAAGGATACGTCTAACATTTGCGGTGTGAATGCCTAACTCCTCTAACCATAACTCTAGCCACAGGATATTTCGTTTCATTTTACTACTTTGACATGTCTTTGGTGGATAAATATGGGATAAATGACTAAGTTTGAAACACTTCTTTCAAATACATATTCATCAATCTTTATCATTCGTACTTCGCAATTAATTTACATACATGACAAAGTTGTAAAGCGAAATGAAATAGCGCTCTAACATTGCTAAGATATCGTATCTTATGACTAGAGTTGTAACTAGATAGTTGGAAGTTTTAGATGCGGTCGCTCTGCTGTTCATAATTGGAGAAATAAGGATATTTTGTTCAAACAAAGTTTTTGAGCGACAAATAATGTTTTCCGAGTTTTTTTTTTATCTGAAACAATCCAAACCCAAGTTATGACAGTTCAAAAGTAGATAGTGTCCTAACTAGATTTGTTTAACTTGTCGTTTTGTCGGCCAAATATGATCCTAGATTATTAATAGGTGTATAATAAATCTACCGTATCAAAGTGTAAGAGACTCAACAGTTCACATAATAACTGTTCCTTTTCCAAAAAATTTATTTCAAATGTTTCTCTCATGGAGGTAATACAATATATATTTTTAGTCTTAAATGCTGATGTCTTCGGTAGTTCTCTTACATGTGGATTATTTCAATTAGTGTTTTGTAGATCGGTCTAGCCAATTAGGAACCAGATTAGATTTTCAGTACCACTACACTACACCATCGCCATATAGTGTGATAGCAATACGTACAAATGAACAATGAATACAGTTTGTTTAAGGCACACTTCAGGCGGACTTCAAACATGAGTCAAATCACATCGGACGGCGATGTGGCCTGTTTGAGAGAGTGTAACATCACAAAGGAGTCCCCTTGTTTACCTCCCGATTAACAGCTTATACTATTCTGTTGCACGCTCATTAATTGGAGCCGAGAATGGATAAGGTAGTGATTGTGCTCTATAATTGTTAATTGTTACACGTTGATTAGAAATGGACGTTAATGGAGATATTTGCAGCGAGCAGTGTGATTTAATTGACAATTTATATATATGTAATGCTATAAATATATAATATGTAGGATTTACTGATCAATGATTCACAAATTACGTATCGAATATTGTTTTCAATTAGTTCCGTATGCTAAAATTAAGATGGACTTTGCGCTAGTTTTATTTATAACATGATCCTATTACCTACTCGATTATGCATCTAACGAATAAAACAAAAACAGAAATGTTACGGAAGAAACATCAAAAAGCTATGAATAAATTAGCAAATTAAAGGTTTTACAGAAGTAACGGCAAGTTTATATTGATATAACTGTATAGGCTTGCAAAATTGCTGATATTTCACTATTCTGTTTATGTTAACGCTCTTAATATATTATAAATGGTTAAAAGTTGAATTAATTTTACATTAAGTTAAATAAATGTAATTTTGAATATTATAATTCAACCCTTAGATCAGTAAATACATTAAAACTATTGTGTTATAAGCGTATATATAAACATTTTTGAAAATAATCTAATCGGAACACTTATCTATCGACAGTTAAAAAAAATAAAAAATGGGACATCTTTACTATTGTGAGGTTCTAAGGACACTACTCTGTTGAAATGGAAAATATTTACTTATTATAACTAAAATTCCAGAGAGCGATTCTTGATAAAAGTGTTTTTGGTCAGATTTATGGGTACCTTTTCTCATTTCAAGGATGAATTAAAAAATACTACGTAATTAACGATAGATCGATTAGCAGTGGACTTATTTTTAATGGTTGAAGGAATGGTTATGTTATGTGATAAAAAAAATATCCTTAGTTACCATTACTATTGAACTCGACGTTTGACCTGAGAATAAGTACAAGTCCTTATTAGTAGTAGTCAAGCAAAGAAGTAAAAATATTTAAATTTATTTAATATCCAATATCCAGTAACATTTTAATATACATTGAATCAATGTAATTCCATCAACGCAATGTTTATTATTTTTTCTACATTGGCTCTCATAGCTTTAGTACAATTGCTCAGAAAATAAACAAAGCATTTACAGCTATTCTTGTGTGGTTTCGTTCGGTTTTAGTGGTTGTAATTCAGATATATGCTTGTTTATTCAATGCCAAATAGAATGAGCACTTAACTAGAAACATATGTTCGAAAAAGTGTTTAATATCTTTCTTTTAAAGAATGCAGTAAGAACAAACATACAAAGAACAAATTCAATGAGACAATGTCTTTTTTTCGTATCTGATTTGTAAACTTTCACAAACTTTCACAGTCTATGGGTGATCTTAAATCTATACCGTAAATAGTAGATCAAATACTGAAATCTGCAATACTACGATGTGATTTTTAAATAAAATGGTTGTGTCATAACAGGAAAGGACTATTAATATCTACAAACAAGTGGTTTTGTTGATTGTATAGAATTTATAAAGGTTTATCATTTATAAAAATGTGTTTATGTTGCTGGCGAAATTTAGTAAATGGACACACAAAACGTATTATCCGCTGCTACACTGAAAGAAAGAATAGAAAGAAGGCTTCTTAAGCATTTTTTTATTTTATTACGTATATAGTTAACTTACCGGTCTTTGAATTATCTTTAAAAGTAATTACATTCTGTAAAATCTCCACAACTATAAAAAATTCTTACAATTTTTAGGGTTCCGTATCCAAAGGCAAAAAAGGGAACCTTATTATTAAGACTCCTATGTCTGTCTGTCACCAGTCTATTTCATGAACCGTGAAAGTAAGACAGTTGGAGAAGATTTAAGTATTTCTGTTCCCGCTTCAACAACATATACTAAAACCAGAATAAAATATTGTAAATATTTAAGAAGGCTCCTATAGAGCAACCATAATTTTTTTGCTTGTTTTTTGTTACAACAACACAATGTGTGACTGGTAGCACGTTTTGGGTGTCAGAATATCTCAATTTGAATCATCACGATGATATTATGTGTGTGATATTAATAAATGCCATTAAATTATATTCGCCAATCCTAGACTCTTCACCGCTATGGAGGGCTTCCTTCATCACATGGCGCCGCAGTTTCTGCACCCTGCTCTGCAGAGCTTCGGGTGTGGTGCATTCCGGCCTATTGGAGGCGCTTTTCATCCGCTTTACCCAGGCAAAGCTTTTGCCAGGCATTTAGGGGAACAATATGCACTTGGGCAAAGTGTTGGACAAGCTTTGAGGGTGAGATCTTTTTCTTGTACCACTATGGTGAATAAAATATACCTTATCTAGTAAGTATTATAATTAGCACGGTTAAATTCGAACGGATATGTTGAATACATTTTTTTTTACTTTTGTGTGAAAAGTATTATATTGTTATAATATATGTGTCTGATATACTTATGGAGAATTAGGTATTACGTAGGTATAATAAAAAAATCCAAGTACTTCACTATTACACTTCTTTTATTTGTATGGTTTTAACTCTAGATCGTTTTGTAGATCTATGGAGGAGGTCTATGGTTAACAGTCGACGTCGTACGGCTATTGATGATGATGTACTTAATATTTCTTGTATTATATTATTAAAAAAATAAAAATATTATTCTAATGTATAAACAAAAGTAAAGTTAGCTAAAAAACGAATCTGAATTACTTATACACTTACCTGTTTAAAACCTGGATACCCGATCGAAATCAATTAGTATATTCTTTTGCCCATAGCAAAATTTGAAACAATACGGAGGTATATCATCATCACAGAGCGTCCGCGATGAGAGCAGTACCCCGCCGTTGTACCGGCATGCGTATGGTGCGCGTGATGACACCAGTTCACCTGGTTCAGCCGCTTCTGCCTCGCCGCGCCCGTGTAAGGACGATGAGAACCCTACTCCGGCTACTTGCACCGATTCTCACGACTTCTTCTCTGGTAAGTTTATCAATTATATGCCGCCTTAGAATTAATACATGTAATGTTCGAGCTAATTTGAGTTTACACGTCTTTACATCATAAACCGATATAGCGAAGAAACCGGCACGCGTGGCATTAAAAGCTCTCGTTTCCAATTATTGCTGAAAAAAAATGAAAAAAGCTATCAATAATAACTAGTGTAATGATTAAAATATTCAAGACGATCTTATTTCTTGATATTTCTTTATTTCAAATGAATACAGAGCTTTAGGATATGGTTCTCGATTAACTGTATTTACCCAGGATCTCTGACGGTTATATATTAGCTGACGGGGAACGTAAGTCATCTTGCGGTGTGTGCGGTGCGAGGCTGGGCCCAGGTGTAGCGCAAGCTCACTTCCTTCAAGAGTTACAGCACCTGTACAGTCTCAGCGCACTTCCGAGGGACACAGCCGGTCCACCGACGCATTCATTGCATCACCAAGATGAGGACGCTCGCTGGGAGGTGAGAGTCGATATTTAAGCAAAAAAAATGACTTTTTATGGTTAACCACAATTGGAATGATTATCTACTAGGCAGAATAAGCAACAGTTTAGAAGAAGCCGCAGCTAAGAATAAATCTATATATATAAAAATTTTGTGTCACGATGTATGTTGCCAATAAACTCCAAAACTACTGAACCGATTTCTATCAAATTTCACATGTAGCCGTATTTTGGTCTAACTTACTGGATACGATAGTTATCATCTCAATTATTCGCTTATGTCGTGAATGTAAACAAATAAAATGTTCTAATTAATTGTTTCTTAAGCAAGTGTTTATTTACTGTTTAGTTTTATGAAGTTCTCATAAATGGCGGTGTACGTTGATTCATAGATAAAATTCTTCAATATCGTTTGACATCTAGGTTGCAAATACACCCAATAGATTGCCCTGTGTTCTAGATGGCGTTTATTCCAAAGTAATCTGCGGTAACGTTTCTTTCAAAGAATTTTGCGTAGATTACGTTTTCGATTAAGTTTTGTGTAAACTTCAGAACTTTTTTTTCATCTTTATTTCAAATTGCATTGAATTGGCTTAATATCTCTAAAGTTTCAAAGATAAAGTGCTGAAACATATTGGACATTCGTTGGTATTTTGTTGTACTATCTTCGAACTTAAACATCAAGGTAATTTCATCATCAGCTCAAAAAACAACAGCGCTTTTAGAAAATATGATGCCCAAAGTAACTATATCACGCGGACGAAGTCGAAGGAGCCATGTAAAACAGTTCAAAATATTTAAGTCTCACTTTTAAAGTGAGATTTAAAATGTTATCGTCAATCTATTAATATTCCCGCTGCAGGAGCAAAGGCTTTCCTTATGGGTGAAATCAAATCGAATAGGCAGATGGGCCGTACGCCTAGCAGAGTGATTCTGTCAAAAACCGAATACGAATTTACTCATGTGCCCAAATTCACGTCATTTAGTGTAGCAATAGGGATGACGACTAATTTTTTTTGTTTTTTCGTCAAATAGAGTGTTGAAAAATATTAAACACGTGCGTACGTGGTACGTTTTCTACTAAACTGTGTCGTAGCGAGCCCCCGCTCCTCAACTTTAAGGCTGTCTAAGCTGTTTCTCGTTAAATTGAAGTAAAAAAAATACGTATCTAATATTTTTCTATTATCTGATTGACGGACTAAATAGAATTGCATTTTCTTTACCCAGTCGTCATCCCTATTCTATTGATTCCATTTTTGTAGAAAAATACAAAACAAGATTGATTAATTATACGTGTCTCATATATTATATTCCTATGTCATTTTGAAACTCGGACACTCGAGTGAATTCGAATTAAGATTTTTACAGAATCGCAGGGAAATGCTGATTGGTGTGTGTTAATAACTACTGATGCAGCTTGAACCAACAACTTAAAATGCATTAAGCTTGGTGGAGCTTGAGGTAAAAAAAAATAGATGGTAGAGGAAACTGGTGCTTGAAACCCAGGTCTTTCATACCTACCTTAGAAGTCAATGTATCCTAGTAAAATTAAAAAAAAATATTATTAAATTTTATATTGTGGTTAGATCATGTCAATTTTAATTATCATAATTATAGTATGTGTTTTAAAATGATATCGAATCGTGTCTCATTAGCCATTTCGTCGCAGACATACCAACGCATTCGCGCAAACCGCCAGCGTCGCTTGAAGCTGCGCACTCGCAAACGCCACCACACCGTGGAGAGTATGCTGGGCTACGACCTGGACGAGGAGCGGCGTGAGGAGAGGCCACGGGAGCAACGCTCATATGACGCGGAGGATGAACCCGTTGACGTAGAGGGCGACTCGCTCGGGTGGCCTGAGGGACCAATCAATGTCGATGGTGAGTTCTAAACATTTTACAAAACCTATATTACAAACTAGCTGTTTTCCCACCACTTTGCGTAAATTATACCCTACACTCACCCATATGTTGTAGCTTTCCGTAGGTAAATGAATTGTCGGTCATGGCCGGATCATCAAAATCACCTTTCATTGGATTGAATGTTTTGTACGATGGAATGGTGCCGAAACGAATAGGGATAATAAGCCATGCTTGACCCACCCCTGTTAAAGACAACGAGACATCTGAAACACAGAGAGACTCGAAAGTCGCTCAATAAGTTCAATTGTTTATAATAATTTTAATAATATAAAGTTTTGGATGATAGGTCGGTCATTAGTTTATCGACGAATGTAATTATGAACCATAATTCAAGACGCATTTTTCCATATATTAAAACTTATCTCTATATACATATATATAATCCACAGACAAAGATCAACGCAGCGATAGTGAAAAAATGCACTTTAGCTACGCGGAAGACTTAGAGATATCCAGCACGAACGATGCCATGCAATCACCAGAACGTGTCAGGTATAAACAATTACATGAATAACTACCTCATATTATGTCATATTTAAGTCCTCGTGACTGTAGCTGAGTGACAAATAAATTGTTATTATTATTATATATTTATGGATTATATGTAGTTTTCTCATTTGCAATTATAGCTTGTTAGAATTCCAGAGATTTTGAGAGAAATGAGAGTGAGAAATTGTGCATTCTTGTCCACATCAATCTGTCAATAATAGCTTCGAAATTGTATGTATCTGTTTTCTAACAAAGGTAAATTTAAAATTACAATAATATTACAGGATCGAGACTCCAAAGCCATTGTCGCTCGAATGTCCAGCGAAGACATCGGAGACAACTGAACGACCAGCGGAAGTAACCACATCTGAGTGGCCGGCTGGCACGCCTTCTGAATGGGCAGCTCTGCCTGAGGCGTATGTGCACCGGCACAAAATCGACGGCGAGAACCTGCCATCCTCCACCGATTCACGAAACTAATTGACTAATGAACTAGTTGACAATTTAACTTATGACTAGTAAACTAGTTGACTGGCAAACTAGTTAACTAGTAGTTGATGATATGACTAGTCGACTGCGATTACTTTAAAAAATATTGGAAAATTAAATTCATGAATATCAAGCTGAACTCAGACCAGTAATATTTTGCTATCTCCTTGAGCTTGCTCTCCCAATAAGTCTTATCTATACCGAGCGATACCCGTCGGTTAAAATGCGTTTTTTTTATAATATCACTGTTTTTTACTATTTTGTTAATCTGAGACAAATTCGAATATAATTTATATTCCACTACAAAAGAATTTACTAGTAAATTTTTTTTAATACACATAAATTAAGAAATATTTTTTATCGAAATTTTCGCTGTTATGTATAGATCAAGGAGTCACAATAAAAGTATTGTATATCCTTTATATCAACCGTATTTGTCTCAGATATTTAGCAGGTTCCATATACATCATCATCATCACCATTAGCCCGTATTCGTCCACTGTTGGATATAGGCCTCTTCAAAAACACGCAATCGAACTCGATCTTCGGCTACTCGTATCCAGTTTCTGCCAGCCACCTTCCGAAGATCGGCCTCCCGCCTTGTCTGAGGGCGTCCCACACTACGCTTGCCGATCCGCGGTCTCCACTCTAGAGTGTGCTTAGCTCACCGACTGTCGGTTCTACGGCTAATGTAGCCTCCTTATTGCCATTTCAACTTGCTGATTCGGTGGACTATGTCGATTACTTTGGTTTTATGATGAATTACCTCATTTCGGATTCGATCTTTCAGAGAAACTCCGAGCATAGTCTTCTCCATAGCTCGCTGAGTGACTTTCATCTTATGAACATGTCTCACTATTAGTGTCCACGTTTCGGCTCCGTATGTCATGACAGGTAAGACACATTGATTAAAGACTTTCGTTTTTAGACTTTGTGAAATAGTTGACGCGAAGACCGGACGCAATTTACTTAAAGCTGCCCAATCTAGCTATATTCTTTTATCGATCTCGTTTTTGAAGTTGTTTTGACCCAACTGCACTAGTTGCGCAAGGTAAACATTACTGCTGTAATATGTATTTATTCACTTTTTATAATCACAACATTACAATTTTTAAAGAACCATAAACAGACTAACAATATTGCCATAGGGAGTCACAGACTCAATATACAACAGTATCCTCCATTTCATGGTCTGAGTGTGCCGGGGTCGGTGCATAAACCTGCACAACTTTGAGATTATACCTCTCGATGAGCTTAATTATGAGATACTCACCCCTATTTGAGACACTAGAGATTTCTACAACGCTGTCAGTAAGGGTTTTGTTCACCAGGAAGCCTACTCCACCCTTGGATTAATGGTCACCTCTGGAAAATAAAATGGATGTCCTAATTTCAGGATTATTGTGTCCTCTCCCTCTTTCCGGACTTCGTATAACCCAAGGATGTGCCATTTAATTATTCCAAGTTTTTCTTTTAGTTGCGTCAAATGACGGTCGAACCGTAACGTGCGTCCATTGTACGTCGCTAGGGTCAGTTTTGTTTGGCGGCCTTCCGTAATTCGGGGACTCTTAGGGGTACTAAGAACGTTCTCCTACCATAACCTTAACCGCCGCCTTAATCAGAAATGATAGGGCGGCCGGGAACTAGAGGCTTTTATTGGTTATATTTTCTCATAATCACCACGCTGGGCATGCATCTTGGCGATCGCAGGACGCAGTTTTTGCACTAATAACGCTGCTGCCCGTCGTCAGTCTGGGGTATTTAGTGAGCTGTAAATAATAAAGATGGTTATCCCGCCATCAATCGGTTCGCCAGAACCCGTCCGTCAATCAGCAGGATGACTACGTCTAAGTAGGGTTGGCGTGGAGCAACTTGGTAATAATGTACCCCCTTCCTTATTGATACTAAATGATACAATATTTTCATGAATTAGATTAAGTACTTTCCATGTCTTATGTGACTTCTCATTTCAGATGTTTAGATTGTGGAGCATTTTTACACATTACATTGATATAATATTTTACTGTAAATATCAAAATTTAGTCTACAGAATTATTTAATGTCAAACTAAATAAAGGGGTTAATTTCTTTTTAAAATCTAATGTGGCTTCTCAATCCGTACGGACATTAAATATTTCGGAATATTTTTTTTTAATTATTCTAATGAACATAATTTTACCAGCTCAAAATTTATATTGAAAATATATATAAACCTCTTTGGTATCTTTTATCTTTTTAAACAACTGCCTATTAAAGACTCAACGAGAGAGAAATTATCGCTTTTCAAAAGGGTTGATCAATATATGTTATAGTCAGTTTCAATGGATTTATAAGTCAACTCAATATGAATATCTGTTTACAATTACTAAACATATATATACCTACTATGGTGAATTGTTTGTCATAATCAACACCAGCCTATTTATATTTCAACTGATTGGACTCCCACCTTCCCAATGGATGGAATCGAATAAAATCGAATAGGGAGAATGGACCATGATCAACCACGCATGCTCAGTGCGAATGGATGGGTATTAACCACTGCAAATGCACTCGGGACCAATTGCTTAACGTGGCTACCGAAGCACGGAGGAGCTCGAGATAATAAATTTTTGGTTATCCATCCTATGAAAGGACATTGCAAAATTTGCTTAACAATCGTGTCGTAGACCGGACGCATCACCATCGAGCTCCTCAGTTTATTTGTAATCATATAATTATAATGTTCCCCACTGCATGGCCTACCATATAGACGGAATAAAATAGAGGGAACTGACCATCAACCCACCTCGTGGCCCAAATGAGGGATTGGTAATAAATTACTTATTAAATAGTACATCATTTTAACACTAATAGCTGGCTTACAAGTAATTAAGTAGATAAGAAGTGAATAGATATTTAAATTAATTTAATGTTATTAAGGGTGGAGTTCACCGACTTATTACGAGTAGTACTTAATCAGCTGATTAAAGATATTCTTGTGCCCACACTAATCAGCTGATTAGATCCTTAATCTGCCATTTTCTTAATTGAGCCCTACAACTCTGTTTAAACATTGATTATATTGACTTATGTTATTATTTGATGTCTCTTGCTTGGCTTTTATAATTTATTCGAAATGTTTAGTAGTTTTTTAGAAATCAAAATTTTATACAATTTTCAAAATTTTATACATTATACAGAAAACAAATCTATTAAACTCTCAACACCTCTGTTCACAAATTAACATGTAGTTGGTGAACAGAAGTGTTGAGTGTTCACATTCTTCTTCTTTTAATTATTGTGGGCCTGTCGGGATAACTTGATAATAATGTAAGAAATTCTTGGGTTTATTCGTTTATCTAGCATATAGTAAATATTATGCAGAATTTCGTTGATAAAGTTTTAAAACCAGCTTCCGTCGCTGATTCAATTTGATTTTTGCGATTCTGTTTGATAACTAATTCCATTAGGATATTGCTCTGCTCATCACTTAAGAATTTTGACGAGTGCTTTTTCTGTCTCTTTTTTTAAATATTTACTTTCACACGATGCAAAAGCAAACCAAACAATTTTAAACAAATAATTTACACAACTCCAAAAAGTAAAGTTTAGTCTGTTTTGATTTAACAATTGACAAGACCATGGAGTAATCAAAACAGAGTAGATGTCCATTTTGAGCTTATAGGTCAATCAAAGTTAAAATACATCTATTTATACAATCCTTGTCATGTCTTCTGTGCTTTTAAAATTATTAATATTTTTATTACGTTGCTACATTGAACTGTCACTAAAGACCGTGTCGTTTAAATAAGATAAACTGTATACGCAACTAATTTGCATATCATTCATACATTTGTTCTAAATTATAGATAAACGGCTGATTTTTGGTAATCATTTCTTAATCGATGTTTAACGAACAGTTGGTGAACTCCACCCTAAGTACGTGTAAACACACAAATAAATAATAAATAGAAAGTTAAAATTTAATTCTTGAAAGTTTATGAGTAGTTATTCTAAATTTTAATTTGCTATTATATTACTTATTTGTAATAAATACCATGTTTACACGAAGCTAAAAATCTACTTATAGCCTGATACAAATACGAGAAAAACGGAAATAATTCGATATAAGCCTGGAATTCAGTTCATTGAGGTTTAATGTCGAGTTCAAGCTCTAATGAATAGGTATGTATTCTCAATTTGTAAATTGAATATCGTTAATGACAACTTTAATGGATATTTATGCAACTGGAAATTTAAGGCACGAGGCCTTTGTACCACGCATTGTTACTGTCTGTCTTTAATGGTTTTCGAAAATCTCTTTATAACTGTCGATACCTGTAAGTATTGTATATTTTGTATTCATTGTAATGTAGAAATCGCTAAATTTAATTGACTTATCCATTTTTTTTTCGAAATGGCAGATTTTCTTAAATTCTAATTTGAAAACAGCAGATGTAAATGAGATAAAACTTTGAATTAAATTAGCAAAATAATAAGACTCATTAGAAATTTCAATAATTCAGAGAAAGCATATACAGTGAACATAGTTTTAAATTTATATTTGCTATAATACTTTAACAATATTCATCAATCATAGAGTTTATTAATCATAGTTCGAATTAAGAAAACTTTTATTAATTCATACTTTTGGATGTAGGTTGTCGGTGGTAGTCGTATTGTGTAAAATCTGCCATTTACCGAAATAATATTGGGCGACTCCCGAGAAATACTAGACAAGATTCCTGGTCCTTTTATTTTCACTAAAAGTATTAAAGTGAAATAAACTACGTAATTAACGTGGGACGGAATAGTTACTACTCGATAATTATGTGTTTTATTATGATTTTATACTTATATCGAGAAATAAGAGTGCCACTGATCTAATGCCAGGATACTTTTCTCTGGAATACCCTAAATAATTATACATCATATTTAATCACTGTATAAATGTTAGTAAAATTAATTAGGTAGCTTCTGTAATTATATCGCATTTTATTATACTGTTGATGTTTAGTGTAAATAACTCTTTATATAATTTTATTCAACGTTATAATTCTTGATGTCCATAATTTTGATGTTTATTGTATAATCTGCTTAAATTATCATCTAACACACCAACTAGGGATTCTCATTTCAATAGAAAGTAAGGAATTATTATTATATTTGCGTAAAATAAACCAGATTGATAATTCTATAGGAAACAACTTTGGCAAAGAATTTTCGTAATAAATATCTTAATTTTGTAATAGCTTAAGTGATCTCTGTGTCATATTATAAAATTAAACATCCAATTAATTTACAAATAAATATTTATTTTAGAACCTCGTTGAGATTCGCTGTCGGCTACTGAAGAAACCCCTAGGACCATTAAATCTTCTTTTGTTATTATCCCTAAATTTATCAGTTTCGGATTAGAAAACAACTTCTTATTAAAAGTAGAAAGGAGATATTCTGTCAATTTTTACACTTTTCATTAAAAATAGGTACAAAAAAGTTTGAATAAGTTAACAATCTCCTTGAGATATGGATTTAATACACGACTATAATTTTTTTCGACGTAACAATGAAATTGTAGTAAATCTGAAACCTGTACGAGGTACGAGGTTGGTGGAGCTTACGCGTATACAACTTTTATACAAATATATAAATAACCTACTGGATAGAAGTATGTGTTAGTCTACGTTTTCTTATTTATCTAAGTATATGGCAACAAGTAATGCGTACAGTCAGATGAACGAATGCGTAACCGACTTGTTAAGTAATGTCTACAGGGGCGAAAGCTCAAAACACTTCTATTCAGAAAATTTCGTTATAAACTTACACCCAAAAAGGTAAGATTACTAACAGGAGAAGACATTTACAATAAACAAGAATCAAATATCCTGAATGGTTTTTCTCTGGATATAAGATAGAAAGTAAATATTCTAAAGGAAAGCCAACGATGTGATACAAAGAATATAAACAAACCTAGTTCCGATAATTGAGGCACTATTTATTATTTAAAAATTAAACTTAGTGTAAGTTACGTGTAAGTGAGCAGTAATTGCGCAGAAGTTAAATTTTAGGTTTGCAGCGATGGTTGATAATGAGATCGGTCGATGTTACCTCCATTGGATAGAAGTTATGTTTATTTGAAGTTATGTTGATTTATACGAATTAACAATGATGTTTTGACTGATCACAAGCTTACAATTCCTAACTTTTAAACTAGATGACACTATATTTCATGATCCCGAAAAAGGGGAAAAACAACCTTTGCTTTTACAGCTCCTTCGCATAATTCTTTGTATTGTTGGTATATTCAATTCTATACACAGAGCTATCCTCATCATTATTCCGTGTTCCAGTAGTACAAGTACACCACTGCATGATTTGTGGTGATAAGAAGTTTTATACTACCAACTGAAAACCTATTTCAGGGGTCAAATAAGCATAGACTGCGCTTTTAACAATATTGTTAATTTTATACGTTTGTTTATATTTTTATCTCACCTCGTTAGCTTTACTTTAGGTGCATAGTAAATAAGATAAAAACTTTAAAATCTTAAAAATCATAAAAATGTTATAAATCTAGCAGTATAAGCTGCTGGTTTTCACTAAAATATAAAACGAAACAAATATGGGCAGGATTATTAAAGGTATAGATCAAATGATAGCTAATCTTCTCAAAAGAAAAACATACTACATTATCAAAAAAATGAAATTAAATTTATAAAGCAGTACTACCGTCCACGATTATTGCTGTTAACCGATTAACGATATATACGATATATTAATGGTATATACCATCGTTCTGTTCCACCGAGCTGCTGAGAGAATCCATACATCATTGAAATGATTCAGAACACACAGCGTGGATGAAAGCGTAATTGTTTAATATATAAAAATATGTTTTAGTATTTTGATATTTGCATTCGATTCATCTTGATATATTATACTGCTCGTATATTATGGGTCTTGAGATGTTTGAATTCTTTATTTTGTTTTGTCTGCGCTTCCATCCAGTAGCACTTTGGAGTGTGAATCATTCAGTTGGTTATTGTGGTGGGTCGCCTAGATTCAGTTTGAAGGTGGAGTGACGGTAGGCTTCATCGGCAGTGGAGGCAGATGCGCGGAGTGTCACTTGGTCGCCATCAGATCGGTATTCTTCTACTACCTAAAAAAAAATAGAACCGTAAAACGCCCAGTGTAAGTCTCAAACATTATCCACCTTTATCTACATATAGTATTTTTGAAGTACCCATTTCAAATTGTATACTATCTATTTTTATTTACGACTAAAGCTATATTGCTAGACAGATAATGGTGGGTTGATATAAAGTCAAACGAAGTAGTTAGTGGTACTTTCTTTTCAGAAATGCAATTTATGTAGAACATAGTGAGCGACTGGCGTAATACACTCAAATGAGTATTTGTGACCATATCATTTATGAATACCATGTTGTAAAGATAACATAAAAAGCAATCCAAAAAAAACAGGGATTAAAATAAAAATATTTAGTATGAAAAACTTTTGCTACGTACTATAATTATGTTTCATTTTAATACAGTCGACATCTTTATTTATTAATGCAAAAGTGTTCGCAAAAAAAATAAAAAGATGTAAGCTTCTTGACCGTAATATATTTAGATTATTAGGTATTGATAGTCATTATTACCCTGCGTATATGATCGTCTCTAGCAGCGAGCTCCTTGACCAACTCTTCACGTCGTCGTTCTAACTCCGGGTCGTGGTTGCCGTCGTTGATGCACTTGTCAAGCTGTACATATTCGCGGTAAAGGCTCGCGTACTCTGCCAAAGTACGCTTCGTTTCAAGCCCGCCTCCTAGCCCTTTAGACGTTGCGCCGTCCGCATCTTCACGATTTGTTGCTAAACTGCTTGAAACAATAATACCATTTTGAGTATTATGCTGGTCCGGTGTCTGGACAATGCTAGAAATAATATCATGATGACGAACCTCCTTATTATTTACTTTATGTTATTTCGTATCTTTAGCGGATTCTGCTATTAGATATAAATAAGGGAGTTACGAGTAAGAATAGAAAGTAGCTATAAAATATTAGGTGAAAATTTCAGTGCTCCCAGCGATCTTAATTTACGGTAGAGACTACTAAAACATTTTCAATCATAGTAGACTTAGACCACCAATTTATAGTCGCTTAGCAAGCTATGCGACATCTTATGATTAAATTTGCTCTAAAGAATAATATTCGCTCAATTCAACTGACAACATACCAGTTAATAACATAGGATTAACAAACTGAAATGGCAGCGGGCTTGGGAGCTCTAGAAAAACTGACAAATATTGGAATATGAATCAGTTCATGAATGGAGAGCAGCTAAAGTAGTAGTTACTCTTGGTAAAGCTGGGTGATGAAAACCTATTAACTATGTCTACACCAGTGCACTTTCCCATTCATCTTGCATTTTCTCCTAATGCATGAGACGATGCAGGCACTAAAAGTAGCCCTAGCACTGCACGTTGATACGTCACCCGCGAATTTGTGTATAAAATTGAATGCATTTTAGTTTAAATTGACACTACTATAACCTAGCTAAAAATGTCGGCTATTAACAGAGGTTAACAGAGTTCTACATGATAAGGTAAATTACTGTGTGGCGAACTCTAAAAAAACTTATTAAGATAAATAATAGCAGCAAGCTTAAATTTGTACAAAAACGGAGGTCTTGTTAGGAAAATATGAACCATTTTACCTTTAAATATTTAGGAAACAGTCTTATGCACGCGAGTAAGGAGTGACCGACCAAGTACCGATACAAATACTAACTTCACGATACTACTTGTTACTCGGTTCTAAAGTATCAATTCCAAAAGTACTTAGAGTAAGTATTTGTATTTTGTTTCATTCCTAGATGAGTTAGTAGTAGTGGTAATAGCTTTATAGTTCTGAATTACCTCGATATCGGAGTCCGATACGGACCCATGAAGATCTACATGTCTAGTTTCAGCACCTGTTTAATTTAGCCAATTATTTTTACAGCAGTAACAATAAAACTATCGACTCACTTATACATGGACGTGTAGAAATAGTGTGGTCGACTGATGGCGCGCAAGAATCTCGGTACCATGCCGTCACCCTCGCGGTACAGCGCCAAAAGACGATTGTAAGACATATATCGGTAAGAAGGCAATCTTAGCAGCCGTCGACCCAGCCGGATTACGTTTATTTCCCGATTATCCAGTGAAGGTGCCTATCATGATAATAAAAAATTAGGTACAATTACATTTTAAACAAAAACTCAAAATGGAATCACATTGTTCTCGATTTAAACTGAGTTTATTTACCATAACTGCACTCCGAGTACCATATGAAGGTATATGCCCCAAACCTGTAAATATAAAATTAGTCAAGTCCTCCTTAACCATACATAAGGAAGGCCTGAGCTCCTGTAGTGGGGACGTAAATGAGATGATGATGATGATGATGACGTTAATAAATAATCTTTAGCGAGGGAATAGATAGTGAGTTTTAGGCCCACTCTAATTTGCAGTTTGATTGCGAAAAAATAAAATAATTAAATTAATTTCAAATTAGAGATTATTTACAAAAATTTGCACTAATGCATATTTATTCTTCATAGCAGAACCATAATAAGAATATGTATCAATAATTAACGGCATTTGCTGTTAGTGCAACACCACCGTTAAGTATAAGGTAATGGACACTTTTAATCCCATTTTCATAAACAAAATTTCCTATAAAAATTAAATAGTAATAAGTCGAGTCTCACGAGTATTTTACAGACTGACAAACTTGATTCGTCACAGGCACAAAAATAAAAAAAAAAAACTAAAAAATGACCCTAAAATAGGAAATGCTGCTCTAGCCTTGCTTATGTACGCTATGATAATTAAATTTTTGAGCAAGAAAAGTAAAAAATTCATAAATTTATCATACCCATGTGATGCGCAATCGTCAAGGGTATACCAGAAAGTGGTTGCTGAACTTTGATTCCGTTTAAAACCTGTCGGTAAAAAGAAATATCTCGTTAAGTTTTATTTGCAATTACACATCCAAGTCCAATTAAAAGGTGATTTTCTGATTATTGAATACAATTTAATAGGAATTATGTTTTTGTTGTAATACAACCTATTTGCTATTAGCAATTCACTTCATTAATATATCCACTAAAACTCAACGATGTCCCTCTCATGAGGCCGATGCACGGGATCGGCCTGAAGGCCATATACCGCACGGTTCGCCCCCATCCCGGCCCGCCCTGAAAAAGGTAGGTCAAGCCACGGGTTGGGGTGCGTTTCGGAGACATTCGAGACGCACGGACAGGGCGAGGGCGTGCAATGCCCGACCAGCGCGCAAACCAGTCGTACTGCCCCCGAGAGAGACTTGAGATGCGCTACTGAGCATTATCAGTCCCTACCCGTCCTATTGGGAGGACCTACACAGGCAGAACTCTTATCGTGGATCCCCCCTCCCCGAAGGTCGATATCCACAGATGTCCAGCCGCTGTACAATAAATAGATCTTGCTAAGCACGTGCTTAGATTGTAAAAGTGATCAATAAGAGATATGCTTGCTAGAACAATATGGAGTGACAAATCGAACCTGTTGTATGTTAACGCCGATGTTATGCGAAGGCGCAGTGCTCTTGCTGACAACGAAAGGTATATTGGAGGTATTCCCGTTGTCGTAGTAGTAACGCATGCCAGCTTGTTTCATCTGTGAGGCCACAGTGGGCAGCTCGTAGCGGCGGCTGCGATATTTCACGCGTCGTGGATGTCGGTGGAACTCCTTGATTTTGAGTCAATTATTAAATGGAGAACTATACTTATCTCGATAGAAATAAAAAAACTAAATCTAATAGAATAATACTTAACAATTCAATCGTAACTGATGCTCGAGATGGAATTCTCTCTACATTACAACTATGTCAACTCACATTTTTAGTTTCCGCAGTTGTTGAATCTCGTAGTGGTCCTGTTGTTTGATCTCCTGATTTAGATGAGTATCCTTCTCATGAAAAAAAAAAGGTTTAATTAATTTTTTGACTTGGTAAAACACGAATTCTTTCTATTCTATTTTATTTTACTATGATTGTAGTCTTTTTCAATTAGTTATCAAATATCTCATTCGTCCTTTGAACTCATATCCAGGAAATTTGAGCAGATAGTATTTATTTAGATTAGCCACCTTGTGGTCTATAATTTTGAGTATGTTTATTTCCAGTGACGCAAACGTATGACAGGTAAATATTAAACGTAAATTGACTTAGTTATGTAATGTAGCAAAAAAAGATAGATCTCTCCCTGGACCCTACTTAAAAATAATTACCTTTTTCAAAATCTTTTAATATTAGTATCCGGTGTCTCGTAAAAATATTTAAGACACTCATAGCTTATAAGTTAATAATAAGAAAAACAAATTACTAAGAGCTATCTATACATACCTATATGTGTATTCTTGGTATGTCTCTTATTGGTAGAAATATCTTGCGACAAAGGCGTTGGACTTTTTCTGTTCGGGGCTTTACTGAATAACTCCACCACTGGCCGCTCTTCGAGAGCTGCCGATGCTCCACCTTGGTAAAGGGTAATGACGAAAATACTTAGAAAAAATTATTATCTCAGTTCTAACCTAACCAAATGTAATTTTTGTTAATGTTTTTTATACGCATTAAAATTTACACCACAAAATCATAATTCTCGATAAAGGGTATTAATTTTTCATAAAAAAAGGATTTATTTAATCCAAAATTAAATATTTTGTATTTTGAATATATTTTTAATATTTGAAATAATATTTTTTGAAAATTATTTATCGTTAGTAACTTTTCGTAAAATATTAATAACATGTTTTTGTAGTAAGAATAATGAGCACCTTTTGCCGGAGGTGAGTAATGATGAGCTTACAAAGTAGGTGTAGTAACCATATATAAATAGGTAGGTATTACTATTGAATCTCTCACGAATGAATGCCTCTGTCTACGGATATTATACAAAAATAGGGTCCATAATTTTATAATTTTATTATAGTCCACTATTTATCGCATTGCCCGATCTTCAAAGATAAACACACATGGTGTCAAACTACAGAGATTTTTTTTTAATTTTAGAAGTGAAAGCATTTTTAATTTTAAAACAATGCACCATTGGATTAGACCATTTTTCTCAGTTTTAAGTGAAAGTATACAATAAAAATGTTTAATACCACGTAGGACGTAACGAATACTATGCTTAAAGAGCATGCAGTTAACGAAAGCACGGTGTTTCTTCTAATAAGCAAGCAATAAAACAAAATAAAACAAAACAAAAAAAAATGGAATCACGCGGTAATGATTTTTATTTCTTATCAGGAAGACTATTTTTGATGCACTATTTAGATCAAGAGGATTTGATACTTTGCGAATAAAACGGGAAACTTATACTGACAGTTGTATAAAAGTCCATTAAAATTCTCATTAGTTTAAAGCGACATTACCGATACAACATTTTCAAATTTAGAACATTAACGGTGAGTTGCACAAACGTCCTTTAAGGTTTAATGACGCCTAAAAGCTCTAATGAACGTCAAATTTGTATGAGTAATGACAATTTAAAGTAATGAAAATTTTAATGGACGTTTGTATAACTGGCAGAAACTCGACGTTAAACCATAATGGACGTTTGCGCAGTTACTTAAATGGCATATTCATAACAACTCTTCTTCCGTAGACTACAACTAGGCACAATGCAATATCAATACTTACCAGTAGTCAGCTGTTCTGCATTCCTTTGCCGTCGCCTATTTGTGGGTGCCTGCCAAGATCTTTTTGTATCCTCGTTTTCTTTGGTGGTAGGCTCTTCTCGTTCTTTCCAAGTAGCTAAACGAGTGAACGATACATAAAATGGTATATATCGATATTTTGGGGAAGAAAGGTCGCAAAGATCACTTTTAGCGAAAATGAGATAAGGAAACAATTTTGTATCGAACTTTAAGCTCTATCGAAATAATGGTATATATATATATCACTGGCAAATAATAAGAATCGCAAATTGTTAAATTTCCTGAGAAATTTATTAACTTTCTTAAGGTTATAAACGAGAGATAAATTGTAATATTTTGCGTCCACATTTTCGTAAATTGATAAACTTACTGAACTAAAACCTAAATAGCATTTATAATATATATATAAATAGTCGAATATTTTTTCTATGCGATTTTGCTATCTCATAGGTAGTAGTAGTAGTTCATTGATCCCCTTACAAAAAAATCCATTCGGACGGGAATCAATAAAATCTTTGAAGGCGATTTGTACTGACCCATCGAAGTTGAATTTTTTCCTTGCAAGAAGTTATCCAAATTTCGAAAAAAATGGTAATCTGTTAGAGCAAGGTCCGGGGAGTACGGTGGATGTCTTAGACTTTCCAATTGAAGCTCTTATAATTTGATAGCCGTCTATTGTGCAGTGTGTGGTCTAGCGTTGTCGTGAAGTAGCAGTGGCGTAGAGCGATTGACCAGCTTCGGTTGTTTAACAGCTAGTTTTTCCAGCATGGTTTGCAATTGCTGACAATAGGCATCTGCCGTAATCGTCTGGCCAGATTTGAGAAAACTGTAATGAACGATACCGGCACTAGTCCACTAAACGCTTACAAGTAACTTTTGTGGGGTCAATTTTCGCTTGGGGCAGGACTTGGTCCAACCATTGCGATGAGCGCTTCCGATTATCGTAGAATCCACTTTTCATTACTGTTAAAGATTCGATTTAAAAACCCTTCATTATTCTGCCGGTTAAATAATGTAACGCAGCAGTCGAACCGCGTTTGCCGGTTAGCTTCGCTCAATTCGTGAGGTACCCACCTTTCAAGCTTTTTAATTTGCTTCAAGTGGATTAAAACAGTTTTATCACTAACACCGCAGCCTGCAGCTAGCTCGGACGTGGTTTGCGATGGATCCGCTTCCACAATAGCCTTCAATTCTTCATTATTAACTCGGGTCTCCGGATGTTAACGGGGCTAGTTCTGCAGGTCGAAATTTCCAGAACGAAAACATTGGAACCAAAAATGCACTGTGTTTTCTTTTGTGACACAACCGCCTTACATATAATTAACCCTTCGAGCCTTTTCCGCAGCACTGGTACCACGGTGGAACTCTTACTCGTAAATAACACGATATTTCAAGTTTTCCATTTTTTATACTGGGTGACGTAAATGCCGCCTAACGAAAAACAAATACATGCGTAAATGGCTGTATAAATTTGAATTTGGAATTCCCAACCAAGGAGGAGAAATTTGTGATTAAAGTGACCAGTACGACAAAACACCAATTTCATATGTAAGGACCTAATATAATAGTAGTAGAAAGGAACGGAAATGACTATCTTTGGTCCTTTCGGTGCCTGCAAAAAGCAGCTTTTGGTAAATTAGCCATCTAGTGAAGTGTTTTTAGTGCTTTCTTTTTTTTAATACTTCCTCCACTTCCACAAAACCGGCTACTCACAAGCCGAGTTACAAACGTGTACGGTGAGAGGACTGTTGATTTTATTCGACCTCATTTGATAAATAAACTTCCGTGCTATCTTTAAAATAAACTTGCGGCAAAAACCATTAAATACAAATTAAAAAAGTATTTTCTTTCTTAGAATAGTACGATCATCAAGTGTTTGCTAAGTTGTAAAAAAATGTAACAAATTCAATATATGCGATTGAAGTAATTGAAATAACTGTAATTAATCTATTAAAACACATATTAATCTGCGTTATGTAATGTCATATTGTCATTTAAGTTTTTGCATGTGTTACGAACCTTAGTGGTTTACATGATGCAAGTAAACCAACTTCTGTAAACTGTAAGTGTGTTGATAATTAAATAATAAAATGTAATAAAAATATTCAACATCCAACAGCTCGAGATAACTTTTTCCAATAATTCTATATTCATATTATAAAGAGAAAATATTTGGTTGATTGTTTGTTTGCATTGGATAGGCTCCGAAACTATTAGACCGATTCATAAATTCCTTCATCAACGTGAAGCTACATAATACGCGTTTGCCGAGGCTATAATTTACGCAGGCGAAGTCGCATGGAAACAGCCAGTTTGATAGATATTGGTTCACAATCCAAGAAAAAAATCGATTAACATACCTACTTTCCTAAAAAATACATACTCTCTTGAACATAGAATATTCTTATTTCGGATTTTGAATAAATTAAAAAAACTAAATATTTAAGTGTTATATGGTGAAAAGCGAATATTGTTTTGTTATATAAGGAAAACTACTGATTGGATTTCGATAAAATATAAATGGGACCACCTCGGTCCATTGTAAATATGTCAAATAAAAAAATAATTTTGAAAATCGGTTAACAATTGAGGGAAATATCAGTGAACATAGAAAAATTATAGAAGTATTTAAAAAACAGGACTGAAAAAGTTTATTCGGCTTTTATGGTATTTGACCGAGTGTCTATCTTGTCATTTGACGATGAGGTGAGCCTTGAAATGAAAATCGTCACTATCTTTTACATACAATCATCAAACTGGTCTAAAGATAGCATTTCATCTCAACAAAAAGCTACACACATATCTTCAAAAGATTAATTTCATATCATCGTTTCACAGTTGACAAAGAACTTAGGCAATTTTTATAGCGGTTTTCTTGTACACAGTACAAGAACAACGTAAAATTTATTCTACTTGTGAAAAGCAAATAACATTTTATTTAATTTAATAAACTTGAATTAGGGCTTAAGTGACATAATATTTCCATACTTTGGAATTCATAACTTTGACGTCAAGTCGGCACGGGATAGCATTATTTCATCACAGTCATATTGAGGTCAATTAGAAAAAAAAAGTAGAGGGTAGGGGAAAATATCCCCTAATGGGAATCGTTTAAAGTTAGGGAAGATCAATACTCGTTTACTAATATTATATTTATACTATAGTTTTATTGGTTACATTACATTGGTTTTTAAACCTAATCTGCTTAGTGTCAAAATAAACGTAGTACGCGTCAGTGTGTTTTTTCTGAATAGGCGTATCCACCATCTATTTCAAATTTTTAGGTCGTAACTCTATGCTAAAATAAAACTTATGAGCCGTGTTCAAATGCATAAGTATGTGAAGTAAAAATTTTTTTCAAGATAAAGATAAAAGTTTTTAATTCAATTATAACGTCTATAAAAAAGTTATGCGACAGTTTTTTTATTTTACAAACTACTTTTTGCGTCTCCTGTAAAGTCACGATTTTAGTGTTTACGACCTTTCTTCCTAAAGTATCGAATTCGAAATTATTTGAAATATTCAAATATTTATAAATGAATTTAAGAAATTACGTTATCCTGACTGGGTCATGACACCCCGGCTCTGGAAGATGCATCCGGCCTTAAACCGAATATAACGTAGAATTATTTTGTGATATGAGAAATAAAGGTAGTGCTCACTCCGTAATAGGACACGAAAATGTTGAAAATTCATTTTCTTATGATAAAATTAAAATCAATACCAGCATGAAGCTGTTCCGTGTTCATCTGCCGCCGTCTGTTCGTAGGAGGCTGCCAATTTTTTTTTGCGTCGTGGTCTTTAGCCGCAGACTCTTCTTGATTTCTCCAAACAGCTGACAGAATAATAATAATCATTACAAACAGAATCATGTTGATGCCACTAGTTTTATATTCATTTCATTAATTCTATCTCAAGATAATTGATTATAACATTAATTGCAGGCAACTTATAGGATATGGTGGCGACCTACGCATTGGCGTACTCTTACTTATTGAAGTAAGAGATTAAAGACAGAAATCGCTTTAGAATGTGGTAATGAGATCATGAGCTATCGTGCATGCTTAGTTAGAGCATTCCAGTAAGATATATGAGGACTCAATAGATTGCTTGTTTTTAGATGATCTTTAGCGAATTATAGCGCTTACCCCCTAAGTACTGAACATACATTCTGTAAGGAACAGATTTCTTGAATATTTAAAGATATATTCATACATTCTTTATTAGAACTTTCTCGCGGCACATTCCTTCGGCGTCCAGTGGCTGACGTCTTCGCCTGGTGTCTCATATCCACTGATCTCTTATGTGTGTCTGATCTGTGACAGCAAAAATATTATTAAGTTCTCTTTTACCTATGGTTTTCATTTCAGGCAAGGCTCAAAAAATGAATTGAATTGAATTGAAATGAATGAATGAATAATAGAAGGTTTAGAATATTTTAGTACGAGACTGCCACAAAAAACATAAACAAGAAAATTTTAGAAATCAATGGCAATAGGAACTTGAATTCATTATCAACGATCAATTAATTTCCCTAGCATTGAGACATAGGCTTTCCTATCGATGGAATCGATTCTAATCTGAACAATAGAACATCCCTTTTCTCCTGATCAGACTTGATTGAGCGACACAACTTTGTGAGATGCAGGTAAACGGTAATCGATTGTTTACAAAAATAAAACGGGGCTGTGCTGAAATGTGTTGCTTGGCAGCCTTCGCCTCCATATACCTCACGCTTGGGCTTAAAGATAATATCTTAATCAGTGGTGGTACTTACGAATCATTACGTCGTTGGTGAAATGATTCCTGAAATGTATAACCGGGTAATTCATCGTCTTCGCCACAAGCCACACCTGGAGGCTCGTTGATCTGAACAGGAACCTCTTCGCATGTCGTCATCGCTGCAACATATGATTTCAGCATTTTTAACTATCAGAATCCACCATCAATAACCAATTGTATCAATTATAATTGGATAGTGATGGTGGATACTGATGACACATGTACATATACTCGAGTGAAGGTCGACGGCTCGATTCTAGAAGCAAATTACAATTACATATAACGAAACAATTACAATTACTATTACGAAATTACATGTAATAATTGTATAAGTTTTTTTCTGTAAACTTAGGGGTAGTGCTAACGGGGCTACTCTAAAAATTGTTTACTTTTCTTTAGCCCAGTCGATTTTGACCTACTGTATAACTCTTTGGGGTTCTGCTAGAAAGACACATTTATTGCAGTTGGAACGAGCACAAAGGGCTGTACTAAAAGTTATGGCTTTTAAACCTGTCCGATTCCCTACCAAAGATCTACACGAATTATGGAAAGTACTCTCCGTTCGTAAATTGTTTGTGTTTCATCTATTACTGCGTAAACACAGAAGTTGTCCCTATGATCCAAATTTTGTTTTAAACACTAGACGGTCAGACAGAGTTTGTACCATAGAAAGGTGTCGAATTAAATTAATAAAATACCATTACTACTATTTCAGCTCCATTTTATATAATAAGGTTAATTATAAATTAAATATATATAGTCTTCCACTTCGAGTTTGTAAACAAATTTTAAATGAATGGTTACTAGAACTAGATTATTATGACGTGGAATCTCTCATTGTTTAAGTGCATTGTATAATTTTTTGTCGTTCTTATTTTTGTATTTTCCTTTATTTGTGGCTTTTGTTTGTTATCTGTTCGAGGTGGGCGCTAATATCTGCAACACAGTCTTGGACTAATGCAGCTATTAACGTGCAATTGATTTTGTACCTATTTTACTGCACCAAATAAAGATTTATTATTATTATTATTATTATAATAAATCCATCGAACCAGATCGATAAGAACCTTCGAATTATCAGTTTTACATTCTACACGTTGACCGTTTTCGATTAAAACTATGGAGTAGTAACGTTTATGATAAAAAAAGATCTATTGTAAATTAAAAAAAAAAGACACTTATCGGAGCAACCATTTTTTGGAAAAATGGTTACTTAAATAGGTAATCTTGAAGTTAACTGAAAAGCAGATCTATGCCCTAGGTAATACGGATGGTAATGACAAATACGCACCATCTCCGTCAGCCCGAGTTCTACGCAGGCGTTGCAGTCTCGGGGACGGTTGCCGCTCTATTGTCTCACCTTGCTTGTACTGTACAACATTAAGCAAACAGTATAGCATACAATACAATAATATACAAGTATAGCATTGTGAATGCAAAATTGATCAAATATAGTTTTAAAGATTGCATAAAGTGAATTCAACTATAGACATCAGATTATTTGGAGCTACTGTCATAACTCTGCGTTGACGGAGTTTAACTAGTTAATTCAGTTTCCGGTTACAAAATTAATAACTAAACCCTATGAACTTTATTATTTTAGGATACTCTAAAAAAATCCTTGTTAAAGCTGAAATATTCCAAATCTTATAGTTCATCTTAGTAAACATTGAAGCAGTGGTAAACTGAAATATTTAGTTTTTGCAACAAGAACCAGACTCTTGATAAACTAAATAACCAACTGATTAAAACCGGTCCCGGTAGTTTTAGTTTAAAATTAATCAGTTAATTTTAATAAGCGATCAATGGCATACCTATATTAAGTGCCGGATCAGCCCATGAGCATAATAAGCAATTGCTTAGAGCATCACGTCTTATAGGACCCCAGAAAAAAGTAAGTAAGGTACAGTAAGGCTGCACGAAGATCCTTAAGTATTTTATTTCACGTATCTTTTTCGATCTTCGTAATGATGATTACTTGTGAATGCCCTAAATAATCCTTATTTGCACAAATAAGGATTGCTCAGGGCATCAAGTAGCCTGATTCCGGCACTACTCATCTTCATTAATTAAAAACAATATAAGAGCGTAACCTTATTTGGTTCTGGTTGCGGGCGAAACAACTGGTTGTAGCCCCGCACTTGGCCGATCATGCGATGTTGTTCAACGGTGGCTGCATCCACGTAGCCTCGGGCTGGATTCGGTGGCACATCGACTCTGCGCAGGCGCGCCGCTTGCTGTGATACCTCTGTAATAATAAGCGCTGCCGCGGTTTTGCTAAGACCCTGTCCATAACTAAGCGCGTTATTTGACGCGTCCACTTATACATTGCACGTTAGTAAAAAATTGTGTTACAAATAAATAAAACGTTTGTAGTAATGAATTTGAAGAGTGTGTATTCACGGCTGATTCAACCCCTGCGGAATAAATTAATGCATACAATACAGCCGTAAAACAGAGAGTGATTGAAGTGTTTGTATTGTTTCTAAAAATTAAAGAACTCGGAGGCATTCCTTTTCTGAAAAGAGAATAAGCAGTAACGGTTTTTGAAAATAAAAAGGAGAGAAGGTCCTTAAAGAAGGGTGACTCCACTTCTTCATTCGATGGTTCCATCACATTATATGTGACAGGGTTTAGAATAAAACGAAGGCTACTTGAACGTGCAAAAAAAAATATAGACATGTTTCTACAATTTTTTTTAGTTTTTCTAAAAACTTTCAATTTGACCCAGTTACAGGTCCGTGACACAAAAAACTATCGTTTTTTATGATTAATATTTCGTGGTTAATATCATTGATATCAACAATCATTAATTTCGAATATGTTGTTGGGTAGTGTCTTCTAATATTAAATATGACTTACTCTTTTTGGGTTGCGTCTGCACACTTATGAAGGGCATATTTTCATCTAGCGTAGCGGTATCAGTTACTCTCGTCGTACTGTATTGGAACAACAAACAAAGTAATTTATTTGAAATTATAACACTTATTACACTAAATGTACGTGTGTATGTTCTAGCTACCCGCCAGCGGTCCTCCATTATACGCAGAAACCTTCCTCTTGACTCACTCTTGTATTTTGATAAAAACCACATTAAAATCTATTGTATAGTATATAACAACTCAATGTACAGGCAGCGAGAAGCGACACTGCACGCTTACCTTCGCTTTTTTAATTTTCTTTTCCTTTTCAAAACTTTAACAAGATCAATCTTTTCTTGTAATTCATCGCAGCGTGTTTCTGCAATTGCAAACTGGTCATCTACTTCTGGAATAGACGCTGAAAGCAAAACCACAACTTGTATTGCAACAATAAAATAAGCTACAATAAAGAGATTTGCTACAAGTTACGAGTTGCATGGTATAATAATCATACAGGGTTTTGATCAAGTTTTATTACCTAACTGTAATTAAAGGAGGCTTTTAATGTTTTTACTTATAATTTTGTATGTAGCTTTCTACGTTACCCAATACTGATTCAGCGACTTGACGGATTTTGATGTATGAAATATCAGTTTGATCTTGATCACGCGAGTGGCACTGGTCCCATTAAACAATAATATAGATATCGTACGGCAGAGATTTAGCCCTATTTTTTTTTAATAAACGAACCTATGAAGTTGGTTTTCAAATTAAATGGATTTGGATCATAATTATATATAATAAATACTAGCTGCTTTCCTGCGACGTAATCTATAGGTAATTTACGCAAAATTACCTATAGATTACGTAGATATTTATCACCAAGGGCGGATCCAGCTTATTAATGAGCGCCAAGGGGAGGTCACACAGTAGTGGTCGAGTCAGAAGAAGTAATTTTGATAATAATAGATACAAATTTTATATAAAATTATTATATATTTTAAGTATCTAAAAGTCTACATTGGGACAAACTAGTAAACCATCTAGGTCCTGGACCCAGCCTAGGGTGATCATGACCACTCCTCTGGATCCGCCCATGTATATCACCTGTGTTGTGAAATGAAAATGGTTTCTTGTAGATTATTGTTTATATTAAAAAAATAGTAGGTACGACATGTTCTCCACCTCATAAAATTTGAAATAACTTACCTCTAATATCTAGTTTTCTTTCAGAGCGTGTTCCTTCCACTACCACTCCAGAAAGACTGCTGGAGCTTCTATGACGCTTATCTACAAATCATAACATATTTAAGTGTTGCTCGCTGAAAAAAATCTAAGTCATGCGATAAAAGTTCTTCTAGATTCTTTAATATTTTAAATTACTTTTATGTTTGGGGCCACAAAGGAACATTAAAATTAGTCAGATATGATCAATGGAACAGAAAATGTTATAAGCTGTTTAGAAAATCAATTAATAATTCAAATCATTACTTTATTATGAATACTAAATAAATTTAGATCACGATTTCTATTTTATCACTCTCAAACTTTGACAAGTTAGAGAATTTTCTGTTCGTTAACTAATGAATTTCTTACCCTTAGCTATCTTCAAACCGTCGCCCATATCAACTTGGAATTTTTGTACCACACAACTATACAAGTCGTGTTGATTTTTAGAATAAATTGATAACTAATTAATAAATATAAAAAAGGTGATAATATTAAGAACACTAAAAAATCATTACGTCAAAGTTGTCAAAAGAATGCCAGGCAAAACAAGAGAGCATCAACGGCTGTCCTGTTTTCACTATAATCTATGAGCTGCAATTTTATTAATTTTAAAAGTGTATAGCGGTTATACTTAAAGACGTCATTTTATAATAATTTATGGATAAATGATGATGATGATAAATGTGTGTATATATATATATTTATGTATGTGAGTATGTACGTATATTTTCGCTGTATATATGTAATTATGTGTAATGTTATTTATATTTTGAGTATGTTTATGATTAGTTCAGTATTTGTTGTTGTAGTTTTTTATTTTTATTGCTCTGTACCGCCATCGCGTTTGTCTGTTTTCCTAAAGGTTGACTGGCAGAGAATGCTATTAGCATTAAGTCCGCCTTGTGTACCATCTTTATTGGTCAATAAAGTTCAATAAATAAATAAATAATTAGGAAGCTTCGCCATTGAAGCTGAAAGAAACAGCGCTGAGCGGAGCGATATCTTGGTGAATGCACCACCAAGAAATCAGTTTTTCCCAGTCTTTCCGGAAAGACAATAGATTTTCTGTCAAAAATTAAGTTTTCTATTTATGTAAATTTTTCGTAGGTAGGTCACTTATCCGTCACCTGGTTGCGGACAGTAGTCAGAACTAAAACTCAAAAAAAGGGAATGTGGCTTGGCCGTGGCCATTTTTTTATTATGAACCAGTTTTGGCCATTTTCAGATCATAGCTGTAACACACGATGTATTTACCTCTTCGTTAATTAGAATGCTTTGAAGTCCCAAATGGCCAAAATGGGGCTGTGATCAAAACCGGGTCTTCTACCCAATATTTATTCAAATAAACTTGTTTCAAGAACTTTTTAATCGTGCAATTTTGTTTTTTCAAAGTACCACTCGTTCGGACGTTTTTTGTCTGATAAGAAGGAGGCAAGCAACTCACCACAAGTTTTTGTTTGTGTATAAAAAGTAACAGTAATACATCCAGTTGCACAAACATCCATTAAAATTGTCATTATATCAAAATGACATTACCCATATAAATTTGACATTCATTAGAGCTTAAAGACGTCATTAAACCTATGCAATTGACCGATTATGCTTATTTCTATATTTTTTTTGTCTTAAATTGACCTAATAGCTCCCTTCTGAAGCACAAAAATCATTTGTGTCGGTAGCATTTTCCCTCAACAAAATTTCACTGAAGCTTAGAATCAAGCGTAATTCCTATAAATTTGTTTTTCTTTCATTAAGAAGAGGATTCTTCATACCGAACCAATGTAATACTTTAATAATAGAATCGTTCAAATAGTCATTTAGTTGGTGGTAGTCCTCTTTTAATTTTGATGTGTCATCTTCAAAAAAAAAACTATATCCCAACTATTCTTTACGGAAGAAAGCAAGTCATTTATCTAAATCTTAAACAAAAACGAACCTAATTTTTTAAAGACCTACGCAACAATATCCCACACTATATGGAGAAAAAATTAAAAATCAACCCCAATTTACATGGGGCACCCTAAAAAAAGAATTTTGATTACTGTTGTGTCAACAAGACAAATTGATTGACGAATAAATCATCAAAATTGGTCAAGCCGTTTGGTCTCTACAACGCCATACAGGAACAAACATACATACTTAGCCTCCTTTGCGTTACGCAGTCGGGTAAAAATGTCAGTGCCCCACGGGTAAAAAAAACCCACCGTGGTTCCTACTGGATGGCTTAGTAGCACAACGGTATTTTATTAATCCATGGTACTACTGATGGGATTTTAGCGAAATATAAAAACAAATACATTTTGTTCTTAGATTTATTAATGCAATATACACCTAAAACTACTTATTGACACAAGGAAAATACAATAAATCCAATAATAAACATGCGCTTTTAAAATAATTTGCTCATACTGTAAGTTAGAAGAATCCATATAAATAATATTACACCAAAACTTCCAAATTAGTATAAATTTTGTTATATTTTATATACACAGATGATAGGTACATGATTATTTCGTACAAACGTTTTCTTAAAATATAATTATTTGTTAAACGCCAGAAAACTGTAAATTGTGAGACTATAAGAGTTTCGAAGTTTGTTGGTCTAATATTATTTCAGCATGTTTGTTACATTTGTTTCTGTATAAAAGGAAGAAGTAATAAAGGAAGTATAATTTATATATTTATTAAAAAAAATGTTTTTGGAGGCTCCAATTCATATCTATAATTTTGGATTAACATACAGACAGGGCAGGTTCATTATTTTCCTTTCTTATCATTTTTCTATTCGACTAAAACCAACTTCTTCAAAGCCACGTTACACCCGATACTAATATCATAACCACGTCTTTGGATGTAAAATTGATTTCAACCGATCATAATAATACTAAAGTGTAGATGACGACTACCACTCAACCACTCCGAGTCATCTTGATGACTCACTAAAGACCCCTCATTTTTATCCACCAAAATAATTCAACTAGCAGTAGCTAAAGAAAACTGTTATCAGTTTTTTCAGATATATTATAGTTGACAAATTTAAGTTCCAAAAACGATTAATATTTACTTTAGAATATCGAGGTATATTAACGCAATCGGTATTGCATTATTTAAAAACTCACCAAGAATAATTTATTATTCATAATAATAGATGGGTAATTTTTGTACATATGCTGTTCCTTTAGAACCAGTACACTAGAACTTTTAAATCGTGCGTTTATGTAAGCGCGCGCTTCCAGTCAAGCGCAGGTTTTGTAAACGTTCTATAAAACACCTAATATGTACCAACTCCTAGGGGGCACACGACCGATAATAGGTGTAGGTTACTTTGAGGAAAATATAACTTTCATAACAACGTAGATATACTACAAGATCATATCAGATTGTTGAACAATCCAGGAATATGTGAAATATTAGACAGGATAAATTGATAACCCCGTTAAGATTTCTAGAAGTCCTCTAGTCAGCAATCGACGGTATACCTATTCTGTGATATAGATTTTCTATAACAAAAAGCACGACTTACTAAAAGGCGGCCTAAAAATTTTCATACAATATGTACAATGTATAGCACCCGGTTGTCGAACTGATAATTGAAAACACAACGTGGTATACCGTACTATGACGCATTTAAATTGAAAATTATATCTTGAAATAATCACTAAGTATTACAGGTGTTTCTTATATACCACGGTGTATGAACCGTAAGGTTTCTCTAGGAATAAACAACGTGCGCGCACTGTGATCTGTATAACACTGTCTTCTGTGCCTACGCACAGCGTGCAACAGTGTGCACAAGCGCGCTAATGCAATATGTTTGACAAAACAAACCACTTTCATGTCCTTTAGGAAAACATGAAACAAATACTAATGGCTTTTCATAAAAATTAAACAAGGGAAAATGTATACAATAGTCCATGATTTGTATCTACATAAGTACATACAAATCTTGTGAAATGATCACATGGAAGTGGTTATTTCAGTAAAACGAGTCATCATCAAAGATTCCTGATCAATTTATGATACAAGTACACGCGCAGTATAGCATATGAGTGCGAAAATAAGAGTAAGACTTGAATGTTTGATCGCTCTAATGAGGACCAGTCTTCCATTTCAGTCTTCCCCACATCTTAGATAAAATCTTAATAAAATGCCAATGTTGCCTTGGAATGACTGTGCTTTAGTTGCTTCAAACACAAATAATACTATGCTTTTTGTAACATTATTGTGGAGTATAACTATTTAATATTATTAATAATTTAAAATTGCATGTAAATAGTATGATGATATACTCACATAAATCAAGGCAGTACTAATGGACAAAAAAAAGTGGGATAGAACAAATTATATGTAGCTAATTATTGTTGTTAACATTATACATTTCTATATTATTCTTAATCAATATGTTATAACAAAATAGTTATTTGACAATAATCTTTTATAATATAACCTGTAAATGATACCACGTTATAACTCATATATAAATGACAACAAACTTCTCCCTCTATACTTTCAATAAATGATTACCAATCTTATTTTAGAAAATTAATTATTCTAATCTATATTAATTGGTGTTCTGACACTGCTCTGATATTACATTTCATATCAAATCTATTATTACTTTATTAGGTCAAATACATTAAAGTAATCTATTAAATAAGAACACATGGAAATTATAAATGACACACAAAAGTGGACGGCTGTCACTTGTGACAGGCGTTACAATAATTAATACAAATATATTATAATTTATACAGTTCAATGTTAGTTACCAAGTAATTAATAATAAAAAAAATGCATAGCTCGCACTGTGCATAGCAAATGTTGTGCATAAAAATTGCTTCAAATACATTCAGCAATCATTCTAGGCAGATTCATAGTCTGGTTTGATTAAATTCAATACATATTAATACAATACATAATCATGGATATCGACATTGCTGTCGTTACATCAAACTCAGAAAACTGCATTTCTATAAATCAATTTTATTAAATATAAATAATTAATGTAAATATATTATAGACAAATGCCATAGTAGAAAATTGTCCTTTAGAAATCATTACCAATTAATGGGAAAACTGCAAGACCTGAGTAAATGTCGAGCTTAAAATGCAGTCTCAGTAACAGCTGTAATATTCATTATTTTTATTTATGGCCCGTAATGTTTAATAATTATAAATTTATAAAAATAAATTGAATATTACATTGTTAAATAGTGGTAGTGCGGCGTGCCATGTACAGCCGATGCAGTTATAGTGCATGCATTACAAGAGCACACATTTCCTCTTCTTGACAGGTTCTGGGGGCTCCAATGCTGCAAGTATGGCCTCATCAAATACATTTTTCAGCCCTTTCTGGAATTATAAGAAACAATATAAATTAGATAACGAACATTTTATTTTTACTAACTTTCCGCCAGCAACTTCGCCCGCGCGGATATTTTCCTCTTGAATCAGTCTGTATGTTGATGAAAACTGCATTAAAGTTTAAAAGATCTCAGCATACAGACAGCGGAGCAAGTTTGTTTTAAACTATATATAGAAGAAACAATATATATAATGACAGTTAACATATTCGGAGACAAGATATCTTAAAATCACCTGTGTTAAAGCTGAACATTCAACATATTTTACTGCTTTCAGTTCTTTTGCAAGTTTCTCTCCCTGTTCTAATGAAACAGGCTTCTGCTTAATTTTTGCTAACTTCTCCATTGTTGTTGAATCATCTCTCAAATCTATTTGTGTTCCCACTAGTAAGAATGGTGTTTTTTGTTGATGATGGGTAATTTCAGGTACCCACTGTGAAAAAATGAAAAGTTCAATTTCATTCATAAACCTAGTTCAAAGCATGTTTGAATACTCCAGTTTAAGATCACACATACCTTTTCCTTGACATTTTCAAAAGAACTAGGACTAACCACACTGAAACATACAAGGAAAACATCTGTTTGAGGATAACTCAGCGGTCTCAATCTGTCATAATCTTCCTGTCCTGTAAATAGAAAAAATCACAAACATTAGTTAAATGGTATATTATTTTAAAAAATCAGAAGGAAAATTGTCAATGCTACATTACCTGCAGTATCAAAAAGACCCAAAGTATAGGGTTCTCCTCCAATCATGACTGTGACAGCATAGTTGTCAAATACGGTGGGAACATATTCTGATGGGAACTTGTTTGTTGTGTAGCTGATGAGAAGACATGTTTTACCAACTGCTCCATCACCCACTACTACACATTTGATAGTTTGCATCTTGTGATAGTTGGTAACTTCAGGACAAATGTTTTTCAATTCTAACTTTGTTTTGAGAGTATTAGATCTCTAATCATAGCAATCTCAAATAATGGAAAACCTGTAACAAACAAATAAATAACATTAGCTATTCATTAGCAGCAGTAGGGACCAATATTAACCTATTAAAATAAATTTCTTAACCAAGTTTAATGTTTTAATGGACCAGAGTTAATTGCATATGGTTAAGTATAACTATGATCATAAAGATGCTAGAAAAATTCATGGGGCAGATCAACTTTCTTTGATTAGACAGAGAGTAATATTTCAAATCTTCAGATCCTTAGAAATTTGATATATCAGATAAACTTTAATTTTTTATACATATAAGTTTAATCAGAACAAAGAAAATTGTATTTAATAAACACTTAAATACAATTTAATATAAACAATTAAAGTTTGATTATTCTATCAAACAGAATTGAAAAATAGTTGAGAAAGACTACAGCTATTTTAATAACCAGCAACTAGTCTGTGACTAATAGACAAAATATGCATCAATGTTGATAATGGTTTTGCTAGCTTTTAATAGAAATGCTGTATCTATATTTTCAGGGAAAGCAAACAGAGTATTAAATATATCAACATAAACTTAAGACTCAAAATCGAAGATTCATCAAGAGAAAGATGATGAAATAAGAATGACAAACAGTATTTATTAAAAATATTTCACCAGGCACCAGGGTTGGGTTCCAGTGAGTAGTCAAATAAAATCTCAATTAGATACAGCAAAACAATATACAGTTAGTTCCTTCTTTAAAATTTAGAACTACTGGTAATTTACGGTAGCCAGCGGTAAATAAACGAACAACAAATTAAGTAGTCAAATGTATTGTTTAATATTATTTTTATTTAATAAATGTGTTTTCATAAAATATGAAATTATTATATAATGTGGCCAATATCATTGTCTTGAAGTTAGCAATACTCTTAATTAAATGACGATTGACACCTTCATCTTAACTAAACAGGGAACCTGTAATGGTTCTGAAAAGTCGTTATCGTGAAAATATAAGAAATTAATGTATTTTATATAGCATATTTTAACCTCATTCCACATAAACATAAAAATTTTGTTCATATAATTATGTTTAGATATTTTTTTGGATAATTGATAATGATAGAACTTTTTTATTTCTGAAAAACAACTGTGAAATGCAAAACTTCTAACTAGTTCACATTCTAAAACAAAAATTCAAGTCTTTGAATAAAAAAGAAATGGTGCTATCAGCAGCTTCTCACAAACCTTCTTATTTATTATTTTACTATATATAATTGTGTTACATTTTTTCAAGTTAAGACAATTAGGGTTAAATACCCATTAGTCACCCTGCACCAGTAGATGGACTTTATATAGGCTTTAAAGTCAAATGATGTCTGATCAAATCTATTTCCCCTATTAATTAATACGCACACCTTCAAATCAAGAGGATAACCTGTTGATGAGCTGTATTCATTTATTTTCACTGCCACGAACAACATGACAGAAAGCTTCACCATTAAATTGTTTTATAATGATACATGTCAAGGTATCTTTTTGTGTATTACTTTGAACTACTGGATATCAATGGTTGGTCCAGTGCTCGCTAAAGCGGCTAACTACTGGTTTTGTTTGATTTCTTTGAAATAATACAGTAAACAGTTCATGTATTTTATTTAAACTTGAATATAAGTATGAGAGGGACGGTAGTTTGATGGCCAACTAATGGAGTTTTGACTCCAGCAGTCAGCCATTACTTTTACTGCATAAAATTAAATCTTATTACTGTTTAAATAGGATTACATCTAGCACATTCACTTTAGCATGCAAATATTCAATTATACAATATCATCAGCTCCAGAAGTAGTAAAAGAAGTAAAAGAACAGAAGACAAAAAAGAAATAAGAATTACAAAAAATAAAAGCAGTTAAAATCTAAAAGTAGTTATAAGACAATTAAAAGAATTAAAAGAGTTGTGGTTATTTGAAATGTACTGAATTTGCTGGTTTATTTGATGTCTATGAATATGTATATATTAAAGAATTTCTATGTCCATCGTACAGGAGTACCTAAGTGTGTAAGAGGTACAAGTGCACATGAGATCATATTTTGATTTAATATTGATTATTTCTATAATTCCAATCTAATTATAACTTTTTGTAGAGCTCTTTAAAAAATACAAGAAAACAACCTTTCTTATTAAAAGGACTGTCTCATCAAAATAACAATATTTTTAAAATATAGTTGGGCCAAATTAGGACTCTCATAATAAGGCAGACTTCTGGGTATTTTACTCTATATATGTATATATATATAAACACACACATCAGCATCATTTTTGCTTGTTTCATAGTCTTACAAGCAAAGAAATTGCCGTGGTTATTTTGTTTGTCTCCACAGTTCAGTAAACTCAGAACAGTCCTTAGAATTAACAAAGCCTGTCTCCGTTTCGCTTCTATTCTCTTTATTTTATTTGAGTAGATTTCAATTATAGAGAACCTGTGTCCCAGCAGTGGGGAATTTAAAAGTAATGAAGGTCTGTCTCCATAATTATATTACACATACTGTATAAAATAAAAATCGCTTAAAGCAATAAATAACAACACAAATATAAAACCATGTTAATACTAGACACCAAGGAAGAAAGAAGTTGATTTTATCACTTTTTCATTATGAATGAATGAAAATATCACAACTATTACATATTTACAATACAGTACTAAACATGTGTAATGTTTAATCAGTGATTAAACTTGGTGTCTAGATTTTTATTATTTCATTATTACTCGCAATGCAGAAGCGAAGCACATTCAAATTTACCTACCTAGTACTATAACTTTGTATTTTAATAAAAAGAAACGAGCAAAACAACTTAAATTAGCATCTTACTAAGGAAGTTGCACTTATATTCCCATATCACATAAGATAAGGATAAAAACGGGATCCTATGTTGCTTCAAAAACCACGAGTCTTGTTAATATTATAATGGCTGTAGCGACTTGACAATCTTATTCTTTTAGCTAGCCAAGGCTAGTACTCGAAAAATAGACTGTTTTTATCATTACAAATGTGCCATAACTATTGTTAAATTACTTCATAATAATTCTAAGCCTAATAAATAAGATTCAAGATTAAAACTGATGATTATTTTACATAATCACGTCACAATGCAACCTGACGTCCATTTTGTTTCGATTTGGAACACAGGAAAATGATTACTTTCTTATTAAATAATATCCTTCAGAAGTCAACGAAAAACACTTACCTTGCTAAATCGCATAAAAATCAACTCAAATATTTACTTCAAATGAACTGTAAATACTATTGAAAATTAATCACGTAGCGGGTTGGGTCGTTGACGGTGACGCCATTGATTAAATAGTGAGGCACAACAATACCAATATATCGCTTAGATAGGCTACAATAGAAATGTTATCGATTAGAATACGAATCGAATACTAACTGGTTAATGGTTATAAGTGTGTGTTATACTTAAGAATATATATGTGTACTTTCACATAAGAAATGAGCTGCTTCCAGGACTGGAAGTTTTTTTTTTCGAAAATTACTATCATTGTAAGAGCTTGTAAGCTGTTAATTATTTTTTTAAGAGTAGGCTTTCGGATAGGAGGCCGTCCTTCAATACCCGGGGTCTGAACCCCATGACAACTACGAGTTGACAAGAAAAAAAAATAGTTATAGAGAAAGAGGATCGATGTGGAACAGAGATATATTTCAACTTTTAGAAACAGTAATTCGAAAAATATACTTCTATTAATATCTGCAATAAGCTTTTGTACAAGATAAAATTTATTTATAATAAAAATCTATGATTTAATTTTCTTTTCAATTAAGTATTTTGTATATTGATTATTTTATGAAACTATTAATATAAACAAAATTTTATCGGATTCTTGAAACACAAGTATCAAAACATTAATCAGATTGGACCTAATTTTTTATTACTTATGTATAAAAAAAGCAATAAGGACCTATCATAGATTTCTAAGATAGTACCAATTCACCGAATCGTTTTATATGTAATCTATAAAAAATGACTGAGTGAAAATCTTAAAAATTGTTTAAATATTTCTTTGTATGTAACGTAGATCTCTCATTATCATTACTGTACACAATTACATCCATCCAAAAAAGTATCGATAGCTAAAAATATTTAATTCAAAGTATGAAGCACTACGTCCGTGTTTAACTAGATCTGGGGCTCTATTTTTGAATCATTCGTCTCGCGTCGAGCGCTCGTTTTCTTCTATCACTCGCATACAACGTTCGCTAAGCGACGAGTGGTTCATACCACTCGTTGCAGTCGAGCGATTTAGAAATGGCGAATTTGTTAAGTCGAACGAAAATCAGTAGAAAACGAGCGCTCGACGCGAGACGAATGATTCAAAAATAGAGCCCCTGGGCGGCCAGTCCGTGTACTGGCACGTTATGTTTAGTATATAATTCACCTTTTTTCTAAGCTTTTATTATGAAGTCTATTGTTTTTGGTTCTATCTTTTAGCCGCCATGTAAGAATTGAAATATATTTTACAAGCTTGCGTAAAGATTACATTTTAGTTATTTTAATTGTATTTCAGTTTTATTAAACAATTTATTATTTATAATAGCGTGTTTTCTGTGCCAAGGGCCATTATCAGACTCGCGCTATAATTTGGCTACCCAACGTTCGGCTCAAACAATAATTGTGTTCAACGTTTGTTCTGCGTTTTTTCCGAGTTAAATAAAAACTCGACGCGACGTTTCACAGTAAATATTCAGTTCCAGTGAGGTCAATTCATATTGTGTTTGCACGTTCTATATATGATATTGTACATGAGATAAAAACGCAAATATGGTTTTAACTCGATCGAGATCTGGTGAAAGTGATGATCAGCAAACGTCCCAAGAGAATATAATTACTGAAGGACACGGGACTCCATCACCGCCAGAAGTTTCGCCGTCGTCAGTTGCAGGTTCAAGTCATTTCACCATGCCTTCGGTGCAACCACAAGGTACACCGCTGATAATGACGGACCAACAGTTAAGTCTTTTACTGAAATCGTTACAAACTCCACAAACATTCACACACATGCTTTCAAATTTTGCAAATTGTACTGCTCGTTTTGACGGGTCTGGTGATGTAGAACCTTTTATTGATTCTATCACTATTTACAAACAATGTGTCAACATGCAAGACAGTATTGCACTACAAGGACTACCAATGCTACTCATCGGTTTCGCAGCCACTTGGTACCAAGGTATCAAACATACTGTTCACTCATGGCAGGAAGCTCTTGTTATTATGAAACAAATGTTTGGCTCAAGAATCCCACCTCATAAAATTTATCGTAAAATATTTGAAAGAGAACAAGGAGATGAAAATACAGATGTATTTGTGTGTAAAGTACGAGCTCTTTTTGCGCAACTACCCGCATATTCGTTATCTGAGGTAGTACAACTAGATATGTGTTACGGCTTATTACATAGACGAATCAGAGAGAAGGTTAGTAGAAGTTCGTTCAGCACATTTCAAGAATTATTGGAATCCGCTCGTCGAGTTGAAGATTTGTTAGAGGAAACACATCCAAGGGTTAAGAGGCCATCTTCTGATGTGTACAGAGTAAACTCTAACAATGTTAAAAACTTTTCTTCGACTGATCACACAGTGAACTCTTTTATCCCTACCACACCTTCTCCTTCAACTTCTGATTTAGAAAAGAAATCCCGTCCTCACTGCGTATATTGTAAACAATATGGTCATAAACGAGATCAGTGCCGTAAACTAGTAGACAAAGAGAATTACCAGAAAGAATCGCAAAGCGTAGCAAGTCTAAATACCCAAAGTACTATAGTATGCTTTGAATGTGGAACACCTGGAGTCGTCAGGTCTAACTGCACTACATGTAAAGGCAAGGGGGAGTCGACGTCGGTTCCTATTGGTTTCCAAGCTACACAGCTTGGAAACCAATAGGAACCGACACCTTCCATGCTGACACCAGCATGCAGTACTATTGTGGAAGCTCGCCCTCGGCCATTATTGTATATACGTGTTCATGGTGTCACTGGACGCGTATTAGTTGATACAGGAGCTAAAATATCTATTGCCAGTGAAAGTCTAAAAAATGTGCTTGTTAGTAAGAATCACCCGATGACAGATTCTTTTGTAGAAATGAAATTAGCCGATGGCTCTGTTTGTAAACAAGATGTAAAAATGTGTACTGTAGATGTTACTATATGTAACGTTGTTGTCCCTACTGTATTTATTATATTACCAGGAGCTACTGATACTTTGTTAGGAATGAATTTCCTATGTGATGCGGGTATAGTGCTTGACCTAAAATCAAATCAATTTTCATTACAATCAAACAAAGATGAGTACTTTCCTTTAGAGTTTGAAGGGAGCATAGGCAATTTAGACTGTTCTGTTAAAGGTCTTTGTGTTGATGAGGGCACTAAACTATCTCCTGCAGAACAGCATAAGCCTAAGATTTTGGAAGATAATTTCGACATCTTTGCTCGTGGGGAAGTGCCTACCGAATTCGCAGTACATCGTATCGATATTGGAGATAGTAAACCAGTTGTTGTACCTCCTTATAGATTAACTCCTGCTAAAAAGGAGATTGTTCCACGTCGTATAGGTCCTTTCAAAATTAATAGGGTAGTATCTGCCACTTCTTATGAACTATTAGGTGGTGAAGGCAACTTTAAAGAGAAGTACCATGCCAATCTTCTTACACCTTATATCGGGGACAGTGATGTACAAACATTAAAGAGGAAAGGCAGGCCTCGACTTAAGTCCAAGTCACCCCCGGGGCGGGTTAGTGACTTGGAGGGGGAGGATGAAGCACTACGTCCGTGTTTAACTAGATCTGGGCGGCCAGTCCGTGTACTGTCACGTTATGTTTAGTATATAATTCACCTTTTTTCTAAGCTTTTATTATGAAGTCTATTGTTTTTGGTTCTGTCTTTTAGCCGCCATGTAAGAATTGAAATATATTTTACAAGCTTGCGTAAAGATTACATTTTAGTTATTTTAATTGTATTTCAGTTTTATTAAACAATTTATTATTTATAATAGCGTGTTTTCTGTGCCAAGGGCCATTATCAGACTCGCCCTATAAGTATAGATCACTTGTATTTCTACCTGAAACTACCTATCTATTAAATATTTTTGAATTCACGTGGACGCTTTCGAAAGCGAAACAATGCAAAACATCTGCGTCTGTGTAACAATGTTTTTCGCCGTTGCCTGCGAACTAGTTCTGACAAGGACGCAGCTATTTCATTAAGCTAAAAATACAGCCAGACAAAGTACATGCGAAACATTGCCATATAACTGATAGTTTTTGTGTTGTTTCGCGTGCGATTGCGTCGGTATACTAGCGGCGTCTGCATTATAATCTAACAGCAATCATTTTAATATGTCTTACACCGTCGCATTCACATGCGAAACTATGCGATTTGTGCGGTTAGTACATTCACACTTTTTACGCAAAGAAATGTCATTGTAATTTTCGTGGCTTCGCTATGGTGTATTTATTTATTTATTTTATTGAATGAAACGTAACATTGAGCAATTTTTATGTAGACGTACATACTTAAATACACACAGGCTTTCCATAGATGAAATAGAATCGAATCGAACAGAGAGAATGGTCCATGCATGACCCACTACACGGACCGACTGGATAGAGCCGGGATGAATGGCTTACAGTGCCTTCTAAGTTCCAAAGCATGAAGGAGCTCGAGATAATAAACTTTTATCTCCCATCCTACGACCAGCCCTTTAAAAAAATTTTAGATTTCATAACGCAGACCAAACTCGCTAATAACTGTGTCAACCGTTTTTCTGCTTATTAGTCGAAATAAAAAGAAAATTTGAATATTTTCGGTTTCCATTGGTAAAATCTGTCTTCCCCCCTCGATAAACACGTGCTTTCATTACGATGCGAAATATCAATTAAGGAAACTCTTCGACTATGAAACGATGTATTATGCAATTCCTTTGATACAAGAAAAGACAATACCAATTTAGATACTTGGTTTTATTATGCTTTAAAACAGAGCAAATTATTTAACATAAGAGAGTATGACAATATCAATTTATAACATATGTCATCATTGAAATATAAAGTATAGAACTTTTAGCAAAGAGTATGATTATAAACTCAAGGAGTTCACATCATTCACCCTGTGCATTTTTTTTTAACCACAGTCGAAGCATAATCCTGCAGATACGGCGGAGGCCTTCGCTCCCGAGAAGAACGACGTAGCTGAGAGTCTTCAGGAGATGATACAAGTGCCTCAGGATGCAAATCTATAGATTGTTCATTTTCTGTGAAAGACTCTTGATCAGGAACTTCCTCTGGGTCTTCAGTATCCAAAAATACGTCATCGTTGTGCGGTATTGGGGCCAGCGATCTATTTGAAACTGTTGTCTCACGTCCATCAGGCAACCTCACAAAGGAGTAGGCCGGATTGCTCTGAAGTAACTCTACTTCCTCGACGGCTGAATCATATTTAGAATTTCTAGCGTTCTTTTTCATAAATACCGGCCCTGGTGACATTAACCAGGTTGGCATGGAAGAACCAGTGCATGAGCGCCGAGGATGATTAAACATCCGTTCGTGAGGGGTTGTGTTTATCCCTGTAGATAGTAATGACCTTATAGAATGTAGTGCAATTGGCAATGATTTTTCCCAACAGGCACTATCTAAGTTCTGAGAGCGGAGATGAAGCTGGATTGTCTTCCATAGTGTTCCATTAAGGCGTTCTACCAAACCGTTGCCTTGTGGATTATATGGGGAAGTACGGCTACATGAAACACCAAGACTAGTCAGGAATAGCTTTAATTCTTCTGACAGGAATGATGTTCCTCTATCGGAGTGAACATAAGCAGGAGTACCGAACAGGCAAAAAAGTTCTTTCAGGCACTTAATTATAGTCGCTGATGACATGTCTTTACAAGGGAATGCGAATGGAAATCTGCTATATTCATCAATTATGGTTAGAATATACTTATTGCAGGTGTTGGATGGTAAAGGCCCTTTAAAATCCAAATTCAATCGTTCAAATGCAGTCGTTGCTTTAATTAGTTTACCTTCATTCTTTACATATCTAGGTTTTATTTCGGCGCAAACACGACAAGCAGAGGTGATTCTTTTGACTTCTTCAACAGAATAAGGAAGATTTTTAGAACGAACAAAATGAATCATTCTTGTCACACCTGGGTGGCATAGAGAGCTGTGAAGGTCAGCGAGTTGTTTAGAAGAACTATTTATAAGGGAACAGACACGGGATAACGCGTCTGCAGCTACATTTTGTTTGCCAGGGCGATAAATTATGTCATATTTAAAACAAGATAGTTCCAGACGCCATCGTTCTATCTTTTCATTTTTTATCTTGCTTGAATGTGTTTGATTTAACATGAAAGATACAGACTGTTGATCAGTGATAAGAATAAAGTAACGGCCAATTAAATAATGACGCCATTTGCGAAGGGCTTCCACAATTGCACTCGCTTCTTTTTCTATGGAAGGTTGGCGTCGTTCTGAATTATTTAGAGAACGTGTGAAAAATGCCACCGGGCGGCCTTTCTGTGAAAGTGTGGCTGCTATGGCAAATTCTGATGCATCAGTCTCAACAGTGAACGTTTCTTTTGAATCGATAGAAGCCAGAGATGATTGTGCAATATCAGCTTTAAGTTTTGTGAAGCATTCTATTGCTTCTTCAGTTAAAGGAAATGAGGAATCGACCAATGGTTTTATTTTTGCTGAGAAATTATGAATCCATTTTGAATAATGGGCGAATAGGCCAAGAGTTCTCTTAAGTGTGGCTGTATCGGACGGAATAGGAAGACTCAAAAGCGGTTCGAGGCGTGTTTTGTCAGGTTGTATCGTATTGTTATGAATATAATAGCCAAGTAGATTGATAGAATCAGATTCAAACACGCATTTGTTCTTATTTAAGGTAAGATTGTATTTCTTTGCAGCTTCCATGAACCTTTTCAGATTGATGTCGTGTTCTCGCTTGTCTTTTCCGCAGACAGTAACATCATCTAAGTAAGCATATGTACCTTTTAGTTTTTCCGTACGAATGATATAGTGAAGAGTTCTTTGAAAAGCAGCGACACCATTGGTAACACCAAACGGAATCCGTGTGAACTGGTAAAGATTACCACAGGCTTCAAATGCGGTGTAGATTTTCTCCTTCGGAAGGATAGGTACCTGATGATATGCACTTTTAAGATCTATCTGACTAAATACATTATACCTAGATACGGAAGCTACTATAAATTCAATACTCGGAAGAGGGTATGCATCTAGATCCGTAAATCTATTTATAGTCTGTGAATAGTCTATTACTAGACGTTTTCGGTGATGTCCACCTCCTGCAACCAGGACTTGCGCTCTCCATGGGGAGACGCTAGGTTCTATAACTTTGTCTTTTAGGAGATTAGCGATTTCATTTGATATGAATGTTTGATCTTCTTCAGAGTGACGTCTAGATCGGATGGCGATAGGTTTGATGGATGGCGAAAGGTTAGTAAACACTGATACAGGCGGCACAGAAGCTTCCAGGACGTTGCAGATTTTCAATGGATCCTTTTCACCACCGAACTGTAATTCAAGAGAAGAATGTGTCCTTAGGATATCATGTCCTATGATCACGTCAGCACATAAGCTATTTATGATAAACAATGGCTGTTGTTTATAAACGTTATCTCCAATCTGGATAGTAACGTGACATAGACCATTGACGTGTGATACATTATGTAGTGAAGCTAGGGTTACAGCTTGATTGCAATATTTTCTTTTAAGTTTCATTAGCTCTACTAGGCTATTGTCAATAAAACTAATGGAGCTTCCGGTATCAACTAGGGCGTCAGCTTTGTGATTATTGATAGTGATGGAAATTGTTGCCTTACGTAAGCTAGAAGGAGCAGCAGCGCATATGGAGAGTAGTAAGCTAGACGGAGAAGCTTCTGGTGTATCTTCTGTGGTTACAACGTTAACGATCGGTTGTTTTTTATCAGCGCTTCGACAGACATTCGCAAAATGTCCTTTTTTTTGACAAAACTGACACTGTGCATTATATGCAGGGCATTTTATTCTTTGGTGCACGGTCCCACCACAGAAAAAGCATTTCCTTCTTGAAGATGTGCCAGAGCGTGAGGTTGTAGCCGTTAAATTCGGCGTAGTGTTCGTCATAACGTTTAGAGACGGTGCAGTGTTAGATTGTAGAACTAAGGACGTGTTTTCGGCAGTCTCTAGTGAGATAGCGAGATTCAGTGTCTGTGGCAGTGACAACTCAGATTTTTCAAGTAAACGTTCGCGGATTCTTTGGGATGATAATCCCGCAATAAATGCACCACGTATTGATTCGTTCTGATGTTCCTCCGCTGTTACAGCTTTGTAGTGACAATCGTATGCAAGGGATGTCAGAGTTCGACAATACTCAGCAATAGATTCACTTGCTTGTTGTTTTCTAGAGGCAAGTAGATGTCGAGCTAGTGTAATGTTTTTTCGCCTTTCGAACGTATCATTAAGCAACGTGATAGCATCACTGTACTTCGTGCATTCTCGTATTATATTGAATATAGTCGACGACACGTGATTAATAAGTACTTTTAACTTTACCTCTTCAGAGACGGGTGAAGCTTCTTCTTTAAGAAAATTTTCAAATGAGTACCGCCAATGCGCCCATTTCAAATCGGAACCGTCAGTTGAAGGAACTGTATCGAAGCGTTCCGGACGTAGGTAGCGTGACAAACCAGAAGGCGGAAGAACTTTGTCCTCAGACATTTTGAATTCGAAAAACACTTTAAAGCATAATAAATTGATACAAGAAAAGACAATACCAATTTAGATACTTGGTTTTATTATGCTTTAAAACAGAGCAAATTATTTAACATAAGAGAGTATGACAATATCAATTTATAACATATGTCATCATTGAAATATAAAGTATAGAACTTTTAGCAAAGAGTATGATTATAAACTCAAGGAGTTCACATCATCCTTGCTATTCAGTATTGATAAGGACGCAATTGTTTCTATTGACAGTTCGCGATTTGAACGTTCAAGTGGTTAATAATACCTAAAGCGTAACAAAGCTTATGAACACTATCATGCATACAACTGATTCGTTTTGCGTTCGCATGCGAAATGCATCAGTATAACAGAATGATCTGCAGTTCCTGCTGGATCTGCAATAAGAATTAGCTGGAAAGTATCTGAAAATTATTTTTATAAAATAAAATCGATTTCAAAAAAGTTTCTTATAAATGAAAATTTTTCTTTTATGAAGTTGGTTTATTTTGTTTGAACTTATCAAACCTTTGAACCAAGAAGCACTGATCGTATTTATCCAGTTATACTTAAAATGGGATTCATTTACATTGTACCAGAATGTCTATACTGTTTCTCTATTTTCGAAACGCATTTTTCTATAATATATGCTATAAATCTGCCTAAAGTCACATTACCAGTAAAGTAACTGTATCCGTTTTGAATATTGTGTCTTTGCGTTTTTAAATTTTCGACGGCATTAGTTTTTACCGGAATCGAATAAATAAAATTTGGTCAGGATACGTTCTCATATTTACAACAGCAAAAGTTACATCATCAGTAATCATTCTAAATTCCTCCAGAAATTACCTGGCTAAAATAAAGTAAACTGAAAGGCGTCTCTAACTTTTCACCATATTACTCACCTCAAATAAAAGGCTTTCATAAATTTGATACTAAGATTCATTTTGCAGTTTCTTTTTACATCAGTGAACACTACGCTGAAAGATCGAATATAAGCGAAAAATAGTTTACTTAAATAGTAAAATTTGCAAAGTTCGTAACTTAATGCAAACATGAAAAAATACAAATAGAATATGAGTTGTATATTGGGCTTAGAAAACTAATTAACTTAAATACATGAAAGGAAACCGGTAGAGTTGTCATGGAGAAATCGAGAAAGTACCGTAACGACACCTAGTTTGATTTCGGTAACTAATGTTTTTTTTAATACTTCCTCATTCTTTGAAGTAAACTCTATGGTCAGAAGAACAAACAAATTGTATGTCAAATCGAAAACAAAAGCAAGAAACAATTTGTTTTTTTTGAAAAGCTAATAAATTTAATATCCTTTACTTTTTATTACATTTTCATAACCTGAACGACTGAATCTTACTTTGTGTAAATAAGAAATCCATTTGCTGACTGACTGTTATACTTGTAACCCATTGTAAAATACTTAACCTATAAAATGTTACTGTTGGGTGATGTTTTCCCAAATTTCTCAGCAAATACTACGGAAGGTGAAATCAATTTTCACGATTGGATTGGAGAAGAGTAAGTTTTTTGTGTAACTATTCTTCTTCATGTTAGTTCTTCAATAATTAATAATTGTTATTTGGTTTTCAGATGGGCTATCCTTTTTTCTCATCCGTCTGATTTTACACCAGTGTGCACTACGGAACTTGCACGTGTACTGAATCTACTGCCCCAGTTTAACGAGCGTAATGTTAAAGTTATAGGACTATCATGTGATAGTGTCTCTTCACATAAAGAGTGGTGCAAGGATATAAAGCACTATGCAGGTTTGTATATGTCTTTTAATTTTTTATTCAGTAGAGCGAATTTCTAGTTAAGTACTTTATTTGTGACTTATAGGGTTGAATGAAGATGAGAAGTTTCCTTATCCAATCATTGAAGACAAAGATCGTAAGATAGCAAACTTACTCTGTATGATAGACAAAGATGAATTAGATAACAGTGGAATTCCACTAACTGCTCGGGCTGTGTTCATTATTGATTCTAACAAAAAGTTTAGACTGTCTCTTCTTTATCCTGCCACAACTGGTAGAAATTTTGAGTAAGTCATTTTTTATTTATTTTTTTGTTTAAACTTGTTATTTATTATGGTTTATTACCTCATTGTCATTATCCACCTATTGATGTTATAATTATTGCAACACATTTAAATAATATTGTTATAATAATAGTTTGTTTTCAGCGAGATATTGCGTGTGATTGACTCACTCCAATTGACTGATAAAGCTAAAGTTGCTACTCCCGTGGATTGGAAGGTTAGTTAATTTAACATGTAAATGTTTCAAATGTAGAACTGACTATAAATTAAGTTAATTCAGCCAGTCAAATAATGGTAATCTTTCATCTTTCTTACTTGTTAATGAATGTTGATTGGTATGTTTTCATTATTCTGATAATTTTTCTTAATGTCTCAATATTTTTGTTAATAATTTATTTTGTGATTAAATTCTGTGAACTAATTTTGTAATTGATGAAATACTTTACCATATTGTACGAATACAATCATTTTTACACCAAAATTTTCATGTCACAGATTTATTATGTTACTTGGAAAGCTATGGAGGACTTCTGTATTAGGTATTTAAAAATGCTATAGGCCATGCTTTGACTTAATTCGGCACAAATCAATCACTGGTCACAACCAAAGGTTTGGTTACAATTCTTTAGGAAACTAAAAATAAAAGTTATAAATTGGTGGTTATAGGATATAACTCCATATAACTAAATGTTTTGCATACTAACAACTCTAACCAGGAACATTTATTTTTCATTTCCTTCATTAAAGATTTGCATGATTGTCTTCAGGTAACTGTTATTCAAACAGATCTGACAATACTTGTGTAAAAGAAAAAAATATGTATCTTTCTTTAATTTTCAGATAGGAGATGACTGTATGGTTTTGCCAACTATACCAGAAGACCAGCTGATTAAAGTATATCCTCAAGGAGTAAATATAATACCTTTGCCTTCTGGAAAGAACTACCTCAGGAAGACTTCTTGTCCAAAAGTGTAAATGATATTCTGACTGAAAAAAAAATATCTGATATATTGTTGAATTTCCTTTTATTATGATGAAGACTGTTTTGTTCTTAATTGTTCATGAATTAAAGATTTATTTTAATTAATTAAGATTGATTGTTTTTTTATCATATATTGTTTCCATCAGGCCGGAGAGTACTAATGAATTATGAAATTAATCCAAAGTCCCTAATTTCAGTCTAAAGAAATACATGATAACGTCACGTTTCGAAGAGACGATCTGCAAAGCGAAGATATGTATAACAGGCGACAAAAATATGTAAGACTTAAAGTATAGGCATACACATCTGGTAATTTTACCATATTCCGAATTTTTATTTTTATTAATTCATAACAATATGCAGCCACAGGTACCATTCCAAAAAAAATAGTAAAGCCACTGTTTTATGATTAAAACACGCTATGTATTGATGACGACCTTATTGCATTAACGCCTACATTATTTGGAAGAGCAATGAGAAATTAAAAGTTATACTTCTCAAAACCTTTAAATTTCCAACAACTGCATTATATACAGAATTTCAAGCACTTATGGTTAGACAATTATATATTAAATCAATTATCCTAAAGCAACACTCTCACTCTAGGGACTACAACTCAAATCTGTGTCGTCTTTAAAGTTCCAGCTTGCAAAACTAGCTTTGCGTACAAATTTATTTTATTTTACTTAAAAAATGAGCGCGGGTAGCGGCGCTTATCCACTGCACTGCCGAACTTCGTATTGATATTGTCGGTAAAATTGTAATTTGAATATAAATAAAAAAATAAGTTTTCAATATTTTGGATACTGCAATCTAAATTGATTTCAATTATATATGACCAATTATATTAAATGTGATTGATCATATATAGGTATTATAAGCTGAAGCTTATAATGGACATGTAGTATACGATCACGCGAGTAGGAGAACAAGCGAAATGAGCGTTGCGCTGTTGCAATTAAGCATCTAGTAGTTTTCAGTGAACGCACGTATAAGGTTTTCGGTAGTAAATTCTTATCAGGTAAGGTTACGTCTTCGAGGCTAGTGGAGGTAATCGTCAGCCACTTCTGCATTGCAGTGCCTCCCTGTCAGGGAGAGGCACTCTTTGGACCCGAGCTTCTTCATCTGCGATGGGACCAATGGTCCAATACTTGAGTGTCCTGGTGAGTCGGCTGCGCCTGGGTGGGTTCACGGAGATTTTCTTCTCACCCCCTGTTACTATGTGCATCTGGACTGAGTGATCCTTTTGCAATTTTCAACAAAACCAAAACGTACATTTAGTCAAAATTCGTCAAAACTCATAACTGAAATCAAAAAATTTGTCACTCTTAAGCGATCGAAGATATTGCCCAATATGTGGATCACTCAATTCAGACATTAGAGAAAAAGACTACAAGCCGAATCTCAGGAAATACTTACACAGTGAATAAAATTTTTATATCAAAAAATTGTACAGAATTTGTCACATTATTTTGCAAAAAATCAAGATACCTACTTCAATGTAAATCCAGGATTCTACAATAGTTTCAATGGGTCACTCAATCCTGACGCATTTAGATTGAGTGATTCTAGAAATACGGTAATATGCTTAAAATATACATGATAACTGTTTTTTACTTTAAAGAAACTTTTAAATATATATGTACAAATTAATTTCACACCACAAATATTTATAGTTAAAAAGTTATGTCCAATCAAATCTTTTTAAATTTTCTGAATTGAGTGATCCTTATAAACGCATGTAGATAACATCCCCTTGTTATAATGTTGTATACAAAATACGTTGTAAATTTGTACAACATTGTGACTGAAATTTGGTATATAATTTATTCGTTAACGTCATTTTATTCACGAGATATTCGTTTTCCATTTTTATTTTAAAATAAACTATTGTAGGGTACATGTAAACTTCTGATTTTGACGGACATTTTTTCTAACGTCACTTAAGCTACTTTTCGGTAGTAGAGCGCATCATTTCTCATTTAGTCTTTAGTTGTGTGAGACAGTGTAAGTAGTGCAACGGGATAGTGATAATTAGGTCATCAGTTTTCTTGTTCTGTGCAACAATGTAAGTACATCGTCCTAAGTTTAATTATAATTATACATTAGCTTGCTTTTATGAAACTAATTTATAATATTTAATTGATTGTTGATTCAAAAATATCACTGACTGCTAACCCCCGGTTTCAATAACCAAAAAAACTATCTGTTCTGGCTAACATCCGTAGCATTTCCTACCGATGGTAGCTAAAAGTGTTTCAATAACATACCATTGGTAGGTAACGCTACCGACGATGTGCTACTAACGGATTGATCTGATACTGATAACCGTTCGTAGTATAACCGTGTATGAAAATGGCGCAAAAAGGTGTTCAATAACAAAATCTATCCGTCGGTAGAGCTGTCAAACAGACTTTCCGTAGCTTATCTGTCAAATATGCCTACTGGCCATTTTCCGTCGGTTATCGTATAAATATTTGTAAATTACACGTTTTCCCTTGTTAATTAATAGAAAAGTAACAGTTTTTGATTAAAAAATAATAATGTGGAAGAGTTTAATGTGTTTTATGCTTTCAATTAGAAGAATTTAAGTTGTAATCATGTCAATGTTTGTATGTATCTTTGAGGGCTCTTACAACTAATTAATAATTGCTCCAGATGATTTTGACAATATATTTATGTTGAAAAACTTGAAGATTTACCTCTATATACTTATGAATTATATAATCCTGGTGAAATCGGCCATTATGGAGCCCATGGCTTTATAAATGGTCGCATGGTTTGCTATGATGATAATATACTAAAAACTTATAACAGTAAAAAAGAATTACTTATATTTTTACATGTACTTACATACGTAATATGCGATTTGGAGTTTCAATAAAAAGTAAATTTTTATGTATGTACTTATATAGCTTTAAGTTCCCAATAAAATCGCATTATGGTCACCCTACTGTATATTTCTTTGACAAAAAATTTAAAAACGAATATCTCGTGAATAAAATGACGTTAACAAATAAATTATATGCCAAATTTTAGTCTCAATGTTGTACAAATTTTCAACGTATTTTGTATGTACATTATAACAAGGGGTTGTTATCTACATGCGTTTATAAGGATCACTCAATTCAGAAAATTTAAAAAGCTTTGATTGGACATAACTTTTTAACTATAAAAATTTGTGGTGTGAAATTAATTTGTACAAATATATTTAAAAGTTTCTTTAAAGTAAAAAACAGTTATCATGTATGTAGCATATTACCGTATTTCTAGAATCACTCAATCTAAATGTGTCAGGATTGAGTGATCCATTGAAACTATCGTAGAATCCTGGATTTACATTGAAGTATATTGATTTTTTGCAAAATAATGTGACAAATTCTACAATTTTTTGATATAAAAATTTCATTTACAGTGTTAGTATTTCCTGAGATTCGGCTTGTGGCCATTTTCTCTAATGTCTGAATTGAGTGATCCACATATTGGGCAATATCTTCGATCGCTTAAGAGTGTCAATTTTTTTGATTTCGGTTATGAGTTTTGACAAATTTTGACTAAATGTACGTGTTGTTTTTGTTGAAAATTGCAAAAGGATCACTCAGTCCAGACGCACATCCTGTTACTTGCTGGGTAACAGGAAACGAGTCAAAAGCATTTCCTTGACGTAAAAAAAATTAAGTTCACGTCTCAGCTGATACTTTCACCAAAAAGGCAAATAAAATGCCTTGAAAAAAGGTCAGACCTGCAAAACTGCTAAAAGGATGAGATTCTTAAAAAGATCCTGCAGTGAGACGTAGGAAATGATTAGGCCAGGTTACGTGCTACAGAAACTTTGCCTCAGCATAAATTTAAACTGGGTTTACACCGTTCACAAATGAGTGAAGACAACTCAAGTTACATCAATATTTTTTCCTCTTAATAGTCTTATGTTACTCTTTATGTTTTTTTTACATTCAAATCGCTTTACTTTAGTGTTGATATTTGCAGTCTTCACTGGAGATATAGGTTTATTCACCGGTCATGAGGTTCATGCAATATTACATGAGTCTGAGGGTCGGTGCAAAATTGATGGAGCTCAGTCAATCACCCCACGGAATTTTATATGGGTACCCGATTTCCGTCGAGTGTGCAAGGTCGAATTTAATATATATTTTTTTTAGTTCTCTGACGTTCTGCGACAAATAAAACGCGCATGGCTGTCGAAATATACGTGGCTAAGACTTTATTTTGACAAACAAAGTCGCTTGAGCTCTCAGAGAATTCGGACGGGAAGCCAATTCTCGGTCACAGGAGATACTTGACGGGTGCGAAGCGTATTTAAATGCCCATCGCGACGCTCTTGCACTATCGAGTTGAATTTTGAGCTCTCAGAGAATTCCTACAGCAAGCGTTTGATCTTAGGAAACTCCTAAAGATAACTTAGCACGTCTAACTTCTGATCGTAACACTTATACAGTATTGTTTGAGTCTGAATCTTCCTTTGACAGAGAAATGCGGTCGAGCTCTTAAAGAGCTCGGACTTTGCAGTATAGAGAGCCTGAAAGTATAGTTTCGATTATCGCCATTCGGTGTTGCCTTCAACCTGCCTGTACCCTATAGGCGTACCTATTTAATTAACTGTTAACTAACCGCGTAAAATCTGAGTCACTCGAATATGACGTTGCTTCCCGTAGATGAAAGAATTTTTAAAACCGGTTTAGTGGTTTCGGAACCCATTCGATGCAAAAAACAATGAAATTTTTCTTCTTTTTAAGATTAGAGGTTAGCGTTTACGATGCGGTTAAGTAAGTATGTAGTCTTTATTGCACAACAAAAAATGACACGAACATACGTATATATTTTTCATACATAATATTCATAACTATGTACTAAAGACAAACAGCGCTAGCCAGCGATTTCTTTCGGGCAACCTAACTAGCATTGAATGGAAAAACATGACAACAAATAATAGATTGCGTATACAACTAGACAAATAACATTTTAAAAAGATCAAAAGATTAACTGTTCACCAGTTAATATTTTGAAAAAGATCAAAAGATTAACTGGTGAAACAGCGTAAGTATCAATAATATGAGTATATCTAATTTACCACAGAATGTAATGTACGATAAAAATTATCAGACATCAGAACAGAGAAAGAAGTGAGAAAAAATATAGAAA